GAGATTCTTCGTTCTCCCTATTTCTTGAGTGGTTGTAGTTGAACTGCTTTTTTGTTCCCCCTTTATTATTCTTCCTTGTATCTAAATCAGAATGTAAGCTGTTAGCACCACCACTCCCCGTGTCATCACCTCTCACGACTTTTAAAGCATTTATAGTTGCTTTTAAAGATTGATTTGCTTATTTTAAAGGCAGAGTCACACAAAGAGGAGGGACAGAGAGAGAGAGAGAGAGAGTGAGTGTTTACAATGGCTGGGGCTGGACCAGGCCACAGTCAGGAGCCCCATGTGGGCAGCAGGGGCCCAAGCTCTTGGGCTATCTTTGTGTTCCCACATGTGTTAGCAGGAGGCTGGATCAGAAGTGGAGCAGATGGGACTGAAGCAGTGCCCCAGTATCAGATGCCAAACTCACAAGCAACAGCTCAGTACCGTGCACTACAACCCTGGTCCCTACAAGATTTATTTGGAAGGACAAGAGACAGAGAGTGACATCCCATGACTCAGTCTCCCAAGGGACGCTGCCAGCCGGGGATGGAGATGTAGCCACCTGCAGGGCAGGGGCAGGCAGAGAGGGGTTGGGCTGGTCTGGTGATCACTAGATGGAGTGAGCAGGGACAGTGGCCGACTGGAGGACACGTATCCTGTCTAAGGAACACTGCTCAGCCCTGCCGGTTGTCACTGCCGGGTGGACCTGCTGCAGGCTGGCTGTCACATCTAGCCTGGAAGCAGATGTCACGTTGCTCGCATTGCTCAGCCTCGCGCCTGAGGCTGGGAAGAGGGGAGGTGACTTGGCCAGTGCCATGTGACAGAATCCCCCACCCCTGGCGCTGGCCCACACCCTGCAGCATGCCCCCGCTTTGCCACCCTGCCCCATTAAGTCTTTATCCTCAGACTGCTGTTTTCCTAGACAGCCCGCTGTGGCTAAAGCAGAACCCTATTGGCATGAAATCTGCCTGTAATTTGCATGTCGGGAGGTTTTCTTGGCTGTGTGGCATGGCTTCTCAGTTCTAGGCTTCTTTGAACTTTCAGATTTTTTTTTTTCTTTTTTTAACTTTAGATGTCGGTAGGTGTCCTCAGCACCTCTTTGTATTCTGTGGACACCCTACATATGGCAGGAGGGAACCCCAGGGCTGCCAGGGTGTCCTGGAGAGTACTGGACTTCCTGGGCTGGGTTGGGCTAGCTGAGCCCTTGGGGAGAGGCACATGTGGACGGAGCCAAGTAAGCCAGACAGGAGTAGCCCCTGGCAGTGGGGGGGGGGGGGGGGGGGAGGTCGTGACTCGGGTTTCCCCAAGAAGTGGTGTTGCCAGGACCCCTGTTGTGACAGTCCTGGCCACATAGGCTTTCTTCTCTTTATGGAAAGGACAGCATGGTCTCCACCAACCCCAAGTCGCAGGGAGAAGTGGGTCTTGTCATATATTCCCATAACAAAGCCAACGTTGTTTTCCCGCTGGTGTTTTATGGCCACAGCCTCTTGTGCTTCTGCTTAAAATCCGAATTTACTGCGGTTGTGACCTTTTCTCAGTCAACTCTGAAGACTTAATTGAAATGTGTGCGTTCAAGAAAGTACAGGAAAGCCATGATGTCAGACACAGCTGCGTCTAGGGGCTCCGGTGGCACCACCAGAATGTCCTTTTGAGTCTTCTGCTCTGTGTTGTTCCAGGTCAACTTTGTGCTCAGCCTGCTGCTTTCCCAAGGTTTGAGGGTTGCTCACCAGCAGCCTCAGGCAGGTGTCTGCCCAGCACAGCCCCCAGGGCAGGGAGTCACAGCCCCCAGGTTACTGCTCAGATTGGGCCCCACAGGCTCTTGTGGTCTCCACTAGCTGTGCCATCTTGCTCTGGCCCTTTTGGGTGAGGTTGAGCAGTAGGGGGAGATACCTTTGGTCCCAGGATGCCTTGGCCTTACAGGGAGGTGAGGAAGCACAGCGGGATGCTTACAGCTGGCTGCTGGGGGCACTGGCAGGATGTAGGACCCAACCGTGTGAGGCACCACGTGTGTTCTGACATTCTCACTGTTACAAGTTCTCGCCTGGGGGCTGACTCATGTGGGCTGGAGGGGCTGACTCACGTGGGCTGGAGAGGGCGGTGCCGAGGGAAGGCCCCAGCTTGGCTCTTGCCAGGGTTTCTGCTGCTGCCTGGCAAGGTGGCCCTGGCGCCTGCTCCCTTTCTGGACTAGTGCCTACCGAGACATCTCTGTGTCCTAAGAGCCTAGTCCTTGGGGGCATTTACTCCCAGCAGCAACTGGCTCCAGAGGGCTTGCACACTAGGCTGGCACCTCTAACTCCCCACTTCTTGTCTCCGTGGCCCTGAGCGGGAGGTACTGCCTCCTCTGTGACTCAGTTCTCTCCTGCCCAGCGATGCTACAGAGATCATTCCTGTTACCAACTGCGTTGCTATGCGTTGGGCCAAGGTGCCACTTGCAGCATCAGCCTTCCTATTAGAGAGCTGATTCTAGTCCCAGCAGCTCTGTTTCCCAGCCAGGTGTGTCTCTGCTGATGTGCCTGGGAAAACAGTGGATGAAGAACTAAGTGCCTGGACCTCTGCATCCACGTGGGACACTGGGATGGAGTTCCTGGCTCCTGGCTGTGGTCTGGCCCAGCCCTGGCTGTTGTGGTTATTGGTAGGGGGGTGAGGATACTGAACCACTAGTCCCTCTTTCTTTCTGTTGCTCTGCCTTTCAAATAAATAGATATTTAAAGAGAAAATAGAGAGCTACATCTATTTTGGTTAAAAAAAAAACCCACATTTTAAAAAATTAATGGAAATGCATATTATGAAAAAACTATGAATGGATTTCTAAAACATTTTTTTAGGGGGGACATGAAAGTAAAGTTACCTTTTAGGTCCCAGGACTGTGTGAGTCCCTCCTTCTGCCCAGTCCAGCTGCTTCTGGGCTGCCCATGCAGCATTCCATCGGGGGAGCCACAGAGCTCATTGTGACTGCTTTCTGTCCTGCTGCTGACAGCCCCTGTTAGATTCTTGGGCCATTTGTCTTTTTGGAAAACTCTGTTCAGATCCTTTGGCTGTTTTAAAATTGGATTATCCATCTTTCTAAAGACAAGCCTATTTATTTTCATCTACTCGAAGGGCAGAGTGATAGAGAGATGGACAGCTAGAAACGGGGAGAAACATCTTCCATCTGCTTCCAATTGTCCATGACAGCTGCTGCCGGGCCAAGCCGAAGCCAGAAACCAGAAACTCCATCCGGGTCCTGTGCACGGATAGCAGGGGCGCAAGTTCTTGGCCGTTGTCTGCTACCTTCCAGGATGCATTAGCAGGAAGCTAGGTAGGAAGTGATAGAGTTGAAGCTGAGACCATTGCGGACATCAAAGGTAGCAGCTTAAACTGCTGGACCCTGGTGCCTGTCCTGGGCAGAGCCACGCGCATGAGGCAGGAGCAGCCCCTGGCTGGAGTTGGCCCGAGTGACCCCAGGAAGCAGTGTTGCAGTGGGATGTCCATTGTAATATCCCTACTCCCATGGCTTGGGGTGTTATTTATTTATTTATTGGCTACAATTCTGAGCTCGTCAAATATTCTGGATATAAACCTGTTTTCAGGTAATAATTTCCACTATTCCTTTATATTTTATGGACCATGATTTCAAACTTTAAGGGACAAAAGTTTGAAATCTCTGTGAAGCCTGGTGTGTCCCGCTGCATGGTAGTTTAGTGGCTTGTGCCTCTGGGGTTGGACCCCAGATGGCTTCGCCTAGCCTACCGTCACCAAGGTGTGCTCTGGTATTCTTTCCTGCTGACTGTGCTGTTCCAAGTTTGCCTTTTTGGTCTGAGGACCATTCAGGGCTGGTTTGGGTGTGTGGAGAGCAGACGGGGCCCACGTGCCCTGGACAGGTGTCTTGGTGCGTGTAGGAAGCCTGAGCCTCCTCCTCCAGCTGCCTTGGTGCCTTGGTGTGTACTAGATACCTGGGCCAGGATGTGAAGGGGCACTACTGGCCTCTTAATCCTGTTCCTTTGCCCTCTGGGCCTGGCCTCCACACAGGATTGGGGTGTATCTAGGGAGCTCAAGCTGCAAATGTGGAGGTCTGGGGCTGGGGACAGGGTCGAGTGTTACAGCTCAGGGCAGTGGAGCCAGATCCCGCCCTGTACCATTAGCAGCCAGCTCTTGCCCTCGAGTGGACCCCCGGCTTACCTGGCCAGATCTTGCCCACCCCTGGCACTGACCTCTTCCAGAAGGTGGCGCTAAGGGATGTGGGTTGGGGGTCCTGCCAGCTGACCCTACCCTTTCTGCTCCCCCGCTCCATCCCTTGTTGATTTGGCTGTGGCCTCACACTTCTGACTATTTCTTGCTGCCTCAGGGCCTCTACAGGTGTTCTGGTTCCTGGAGTGCCTTTCAGGTCGTTCAGGTCTGTTCAGCCTGCACCCTCACTTCCTCCTGGCTCCACCCACAAGTTTCTCTCCTGGGGTGGGGGAGACTGCACCCCCTCACGCTCTGCTCCCTTTCCCCTCCTTGCGCTGTTATTTTCAGTGCAGTGCTTATCAATCATTAATGCAGGTGATGGGTTTATTGGAGGGAACATGCTCCAGTGCTCCCGCTGATCCATCTGGAAGGCTGTGGGCCGCACGGCTCTCCCGTGCACACACTCTGCAGCCTGGTCACTCGCGTTCAGATCTGCTATGTGACCTTGGGCAGCTTTTACCATTACCGTCATACCCTTGTTTTCAGGTCACTGCTGACCGTGAGCTCCCGGAGGGCTATCCTGTTGCTGGCCCAACCCTGGGGCCCAGGCATTGCCCGGCTGTGTGGCATCTGAATGATGGGTTATAAGTGGAGGTCCACTCACCGTTGCCAGAACCTGCCCTGCTGTCCCACCTGCCTCCTTGAAGCCTTTCTGGCTTGCTTTGATTCTGCTGCCCTTCCCCTCCTCTAATTGCTCACGAGGGCTTTCCCTATCGTGGGCTGCCGTCTGCCACCCCTTCCCCATGTGCACATGGAGCCTCGGATCCCTCTGGATTGATGTCTCTCCTTCGGATACTTTCCCCCGCCCCCAGGAGCTGGCCAAGAGGACGCCAGGAAAGCACCCAGACCACCCCGCAGTGCAGAGTGCCTTGCAGGCCATGAAGACTGTGTGCTCCAACATCAACGAGACCAAGCGGCAGATGGAGAAGCTGGAGGCTCTGGAGCAGCTGCAGTCCCACATCGAGGGCTGGGAGGTGTGTGTGGGGTGGAACAGGGAGGGGCTGTGTGTGGGGTGCTGGCCGCCGCATGCTGGATTCCGTGTGCCGTGGAGCTGGTTGGGCCTGTGTCATGTTGGTAAATCTGCTGCATCATTGTTTTCCACCAAAATCCACCTGCGGATCCAGACCGCACGTTCTCCTTGCAAACTCGGTGACCCTGGGTCCCAGGTGCCGCAGCCGCAAGGCCCTGCTTCTCCTTATTCCCCACTGCTCCCTGCATGTCCTCCACCTGTTGCCTCATGTGGGCAGACCCTTGCGCAAGGTCATGGGTGGTCCTGAAGTGTGCTCTCACATATTATTCTGGCTGTGCCACGGCCTTGCTGGGTGACCTTAAGCAACTGTCCTCACTTCTCTGAACTCGATTATCCTCCTGTCCACCTGGTAATCAGCAGCTACCCAGTAAAAGGCAGATCCCAACGACACAGGGGTGGGACATCTTCGGACTCCATGTAACGGGTGTGTTTTGCTCTCCCACATTCTCTAGATTATTAGTGACTTCCTGTGGGTCTGTAGAAGGAAATGGGAAAATCTGAATCAATAAAAACATCGGGGGCTGAGTAAACACAGCTGGGCCAGGAGATTAGTGTGAAGATGACAGACTCTAAGGGCACAGATTGGCCTGGGCGTCACCTGCCCATAAGTCACGGCTTCTGGCTATGGAGGACACATGCCATGTTGGGGGATTTTGGGTTCTTGTCTCTGAGCTTGGGAATCCCAGCTGTGACGCCTGCCGTTCTGAACAGGGATTTTATAGCAGAAGAGAAGGGAGAGCCAGGGTGGGGTCTGGGCCCTGGCAGTGTTTCCCACCCTCTTTCCCAGACTCCCTTGTGGCTTGGCTCTGGGGTTGGGTTATGGTCAGGTGCAGTTGCTGGCCCTGTGGAAGGTAGGGTGGGCTGGGGCACTGCCCCCATGCTGCTGAGTCAAACACGGCCTTGGTCATCTGTGACTTGCTGTGGTGGCATTCGTGAGGGCCTGGGCTTATCTCCTTGAGTGTTATAGCCTCATGCATTGGGGTACCCTATGCTCACGGCACCCCTCCCCCATGGTCCATGCCCATGTCCAGTAGGCATGGCTAGGTGGGTGACTGACAGGTGAGACTACAGTTGCAGAATGCCCAGATGTCCTGGGATGGGAACCAGGCTGTGGTGGGGTCGGTGGTGTCCAGCCTCCTCTTTTCATGGCTGGGGCAGGGGCAGTGACTCCCTGGTGGCCAGTTCTGTAGGATCCTTGGTCTTCTGGGAGACATAGCCTGGATTCTGGTCCATCTAGCCCCTTTGGCTATGGAGCCAGTCTCTGTCCCTTTCTGCTTAATGCAAATCTTGTTTCCTGCCACAGATGCTCCTAAGACCCAGGGTGGTTGTCCAGGCTGTGTCCTTCAAGAGTTCCGGATCTCTGCCTGGCTTTTCTCTCCCACAAATTAATAGGCTGCAGCTAGAGAAAAGCAGTGTTTATTGGGGACGGAGACAATGGGACTTAGGTGAGCGGCTGCCTCGCATGTCCTAGGTGAGCGGCTGCCTCCCACGTCCGGCTTCAGAAGCTGCTCTGGGTGGCGCCTTCCTGGACCTCCTGCCACCTGCAGGATGGCGGTTGTCCCCCTGGGCAGGGAGCAGCTGCATGGAGCCTGGAGTGTGGTGTCCCTCCTGGCAGCTGCTTTGCTCTTGGCTCCGGCCTTCAAGGCTCAAGGCTGATCCCATCCGGGGTGGGTTTTTTTTTTCCCTGTTTTGCCTTATCCTTCATAAGCCACTTGCCTTTTCTTTTCTCTTTGCCATGAAACTGGTTTAGTTAAAAGCAGATAAGTTAATCCGTAAATCTTATTTAACTGAGCACAAAGAAATAGCACTGTGATGCAACGCTTAGTTTGTGAGTGAACAAACCAGGCCCCATGGGCATGGAGAGCCCCTTGCCTCAGCTTTCTTGTCAGAAAAGTGTAGATTGCAGCAGAAGGCCCCAGCATGTGCACTGAGGACTGGGGAGCCAAAGCTTGCCTTGTGGTGGCCTGCAGCAGCTATGGCCAGGACCCTCGAGATGGGGCAGGTGCACCAGGCCCAGATCCCAGCTTGCTCCCTTCACCCTGTGAGCTTCAGGTTTGTCATCTGTAAAGAGATGTGAGGATGCTCTGCACACGTATCCGCCTCTGAGGTGTGGGCTGTGGTCATCTCTGCGATGACTTGGGGTTGGTCTAGGCTGCGTTTCCAGAAGGAGGCCTCTGGCGGGCTCAATGTCCTCCCTGTGTACCTGATCCTTGGCGCTACTCTTGCCTTGGGCTCAGGGACTCCGGGGAGACCAAGGGTCCAGGTGGGGCAGAAGAGGCATCTGACTGTGGTTTACTGAGTGAGTAGTCCTTGGCCAAGACCAGGCAGGCAGCCTCCCTGGAATAGGTTCCTCTCCCCTCCTCAGAGGAGCCTTGGCAGCAGGGGCAGGGCCAGGACTGTGTGACCTCAGGGCTCCGCAGCTGGGCCAGAACTAGCAGCTTTGTGTCCCTGTCTGGAGTCTACAGAGCTGGTGTGTAGGTGTGAGTGAACCGAGACAAGGAAAAGGAGGGTCTCCCCAGAGGCAGAATGTGGGCTGCAGATAGAGTTTTACCACCCAAGGCTCCACTTTGTTCTGGTTTGGGAGGCATGCCGGGACCCTAGGGGGCTCTTTACCATGGTAACGCTGAGTGTCTGTGCAGCAGGCTCACCGCCTTGCTGGTTGCTGTGCCATGAGCATCAGAGATCTTGTCCATGGTGTATCTGGGTCCTCAGTCACATCGAACACTGGGTTTGCTGTAACAGGGTCTGGGCTCCTGCTCTCAGCTGCTCAGCTCCAGATACAAGAAAGGGGCTGTCCCAGGACTGCTCCAGCTGGACCACGGGCACAGCGGGCGAGATCACAGATTGGTGGGTGGTGAGCAGAACCTGATTCCTTCATGGTCCGAGCCAGTGTCACCTCCTGGGTGTAAATCCTGTGTGGGTTCTGTGGTGGGGGTCTAGGGAAGGCAATGCTGTTGAGAGGTTGTCCCCCTCTCCTCCAGAAGACCGTTTCCAGGCAGGGTGACGTCACTTCTTGATACTCCTTGCCACCAGGCCATCTGCAGATGTCTCCTTTGGGTGAAGTCTCCCTTGAGACACTGTTTTTGCATCGTACACCACTCTCAACCTACTGATGGCTTAGATCCTCGTCTTTTTCTTTTACGTTTTTATTTACTCATTTGGGAACCAGAAAAGAGAGAAATAAAGGGAGGGAGAGAGAGAGAATGCCCCATCTACTGATTTGCTCCTCAAATGCCTAAAGTGGCCAGGAGGCTGAATCTGGTAACCAGGAAATTGATCCAGATCTTCCCTGGGGGTGGCAGGAGGCTGGCCACTTGAGGCATGGCCACTGCCTCCCTGGGTATGCGGTGGCTGGAAGCTGAAAGCTGCAGCAGGCACTGCAGTGTTGGGTGGGTGCCATGTGCATGCCCCTATGCCCTCATCTCCATGGGTGAAGGCCCTGATGAGCTGCTCTGCATAAGGGATGCAGCAGTTCCAGGGCCCAAGGGAGTTGGAGTGACTGATTAGGGTGACCTGGGCAGGTCTCCTCCGGTCCCTGGCCCTACTTTCTTATTCCACCGGTAGGTTCTGCCATGGGGAAGAAGTCAGCCTCTTTTTGGGCAGTGACATGGCAGTGGATACACGGATATTAATCCAATCATGTTACCCTGCCTGGTACAAGGGAGGCTGGGAAATGATGTGTGTGCTTGGGTCTGCCAAAGTCAGCGAAGACTCAGGCCCCCTTAGATAGCCAAAGAAGAGCATGGTGCTTGGTAACTGCCAGGGCTTCTGCCAAGCTTCCCTGCTGCTCTGGGATTGGGGTCTCGCTGTCCTGGCCTTGGGTGCTCCCAGAGCTCCAGACAGACCCGTGTGATCCCTGACCCTGAGGACTCCTCCTGGCTGGACCTTCCTCTGCCCCTGTCCTCAGCCTCCGTCTTGCTCATCGCCTAAGGCCCTGCTCAGCCCTCCCTGTTGTGTTTCCCAGCTGTGCTGCCCTGCACCTCCTGGGAGTTCAATGAACTTGGTACAGTCCTGGGGCCTTTGCTACCTAGGCTTCAGCGTGGAGGCCGGCAGAGCTCGGGAACACTGACCGGCTGGCTGCACCCTGGCCAGCTGCGGCCCCTCATGGTGTGACCTTGTGGTCCAGATGGTGAGTGGGCTCTGCTCACAGTCACAGGGGCTGGCAAGTCACTTCCCCTTGAGAAGGACACGTGGTCAACATGCTCCTGATGACTGTCCTGCACACCTAGCTGATGGAGGCCACAGCTGGCAGCCCAGCCTCCCAGTGGGGGTGCACTGGGGCTGTTTGGAGGCAGAGGAAGGTGATGGTGGGCACTGCCTGGCACAGCTGGGGTACTCCCAGCACTGGGTGTGTTGTTGCTGGCTCATTCTCTGCGCCCTTGGCTACCCCTCCAGGGCTCCAACCTCACGGACATCTGCACCCAGCTCCTCCTACAAGGCACACTATTAAAAATCTCCGCGGGCAACATCCAGGAGCGTGCCTTCTTCCTCTTCGACAACCTCCTTGTCTACTGCAAGCGGAAGTCCAGGTGAGGCCCGGGGTGGGCGTGGCTCCAACCTGCTGCTCCCCCCAGGTGATGCCGTGGGCGCGTCACTTCCAGCTGTGTCTACCTTTCCCTGTCTGAATCGAGGGCTTGGCTCTAGACCAGTGACATCTGGTAGAAATATAGTGCAAGTTGTATGCTAACTGGTGTCTGCATTAAAAAAATAGTGAAATATAGTGTATTTCATCAGTCAAATATTATGATTATATATGTTATACATGTGTGTGTATATAAATATATATATATAGTAATAACCTGTTGTAGAAACATTGAGATACTTTATTCTTTTTGTTTTTCAGTACTTAAAGTCTTCAAAACCTGGTGTTTATGTTACCCTTACAACACATCCTAATCTTTTTTAAAAAAATATTTATTTCAAAGTGTTACAGGGAAAAAGAGACGTAGAGAGAAAGAGATGTTCCATCTGTTGATTCACTTCCCAAATGGCCACAATCTTCAGTGTTGGGCCAAGGTGAAGCCAGGAGCTTCATTCCAGTCTCCCAGATGGGTGGCTAGGGCTCAGCCAGACACTAGGGCCATCTTCTGCTTTTCCTAGCTCAACAGCAGGGAGCTGGATAGGAAGTGAGGCACCTAGGATATAAACTGGTGCCCACGTGATGCTGGCATTATAGGCAGCAATGTTACCCTATGCCATAACACTAAGCTCCCTCCTGCCCCAGCTACATTTTTTTAAACAAAAGATTTATTTATTTGAAAGACAGAAGGAAAGGGAGAAGCAAAAATAAGGAAATTGGATATCCTGCATCCTCTGGCTCACTCCCCACATGGCTGGAACAGCTAGGGCTGGGCTGGGCTGAAGCCAAGAGCATAGAATTTCATTCGGATCTCCCTGTGTGAATGGCAGGAACCCAAGAACTCCTTCCACTGCTTTCCCAGGCACATTAGCAGGGAGCTGGGTTGGAAGCAGAGCAGTTAGGATTCACACCAACACTCAACAGGGGCTGCTGGCATTACTGCCCATCCCAAGTCCTCTTTTATGTGCTCAGTAGCTACCTGTGCCCCACGGCTGCCCCTTTGGACAGTGTGGGCATAGGTGATGAGAACTTTGGTGGTCTTTGGCAGGTGCATTCTGTAACCCCCAGGTGTGAGGTAGGGGCTCAGAATGGCGCTCTCTCACCCTTAAGGTTTGGAGGGAGAGGATGGGCTGTTCGTTACCTTTGCATTTTTCTCCTGGGCCTCGTGCCTTCTGTAGAATCCAGGATTGGTGTGTGGGTGGGTAAGCAGGTGGGTGGGTAGACACAGCGTATTTATGACAGCAAGTGAGAATGCAGCGTGAGGGCATAGGCAGCAGGAAGAGGGAGGGCTGGAGGCTGTCTGGAGGTGGGTAGAGGAGGCAAGGTAGGGGAGGGTGTGAAGGGCTGGTGACTGATGTGAGTGGACGAGTGAGGGAGTGAATGGTGTAGTGTTTGGATATGGGAGCGGTGGCTGGAAGGCCAGGGGAACATGCACTGTTTAGGCTGTGGAGGAGTAGGTGTGGAGATCGGCAGAGGTGCTCGTAGGTGAGTGGAGGCTGGGGCTGTGACATAGTTTGTTGAGTGAATGTGTGGATGGTGGATCGTATTTGGAGAGCTGTGGGTGGTGGCCAGTTGGATGGGTGGGCATGTGGTTGGTTGATGCTTGCCCAGGTAGTTGGAGTCTGGTGTGGAAAGTGGTAAACTGTGTGTGATGTGGTAAGGGCAGTTCCTGGCACGTGGTGTGGGAAGCACATAGGTGTGGCTCTGTCTGTGGAGTGAGATGTGTCCCCTTGACTCTGGCCCTGAGTCTAGGTCTTGGTGAACCTTTCTCATTTCCAGGAAATGTTAGTCTCTAGATAAACAAGCCCAGCATGGAGTGTATGTGGGGTGTATGTGATGCATGGTGTATGGTATGTGGAGGGTACAATAGGTCAGGTATGTGCAAGTGTGTGATGCCTATGTGTGGTTTGTGGCATATGTGTGGAGTAGGTATGAGATATAGCACACGTGTGGCATGTGTCATGCGTGATGTGATGTGTGCTGTATGTGGGATATATGTGTGGTATATAGTGTATGTGGAATGTGATATGTGGAGTAGAGTGGAGTGTGTGTGGTGTGTGGCATATGTGTGGGGTGTGTATGGGTGTGGGATGTGTGTGATACATAATGTATGTGCAATGTGGCATATGTGTGCTGTGAAGGGGATTTGTGTGTGTGGAGTGTGTATGTTGTATGTGGTGCATATGTTGTGTATTCTGTGGGGTATATGTGACACGTGCTGTGTGTCATGCGTGGCGAGGAGTGTGTGTCTGTGTGATAGGTGCTGTATGTGGGATGGGGTATGGTATATGGTATCTGCATTGTGTGGTATGGAGTGTGTGAGGGCTGTGTGTGATACATAGAATGTAAACCAGTGGATGGAAGATCTCTCTACTTCTCTATTGCTACATCTTTCAAATAAGTAAATCTAAAAAAAAACCCACATCAACTTCTATGAAGTTGAGATACCACCACCCATGAGACAGAGCCGCATTTGGGGGTTTGTAGCATCTGGAATGTTCCTCCTCCACTGGGTATTGCAGACTGGGTGCTACCATGCAGGAGAACAGCAGCGTGGCAGCGGCCACCACTGAAGCTGTTCATATGCTTTTCCTGGAACCCAGAAGGCAGACGCCGAGGCGTCCACCCCAAAGAAAGGTCATGTGTGTGTTTCCCTTGTGTTTATTTGAGAGGCAGAGTGACAGAGAGGGAGGGAAGGAGAAAGAGCTCCTTCTACTGACTGGTTCATTCCCCGGATGGCTGCATTGGCTGTGTCTGGGCCAGGCTGAAACCAGGCTCCTGGGCCTCCTGGGCCTCCTGGGCCTCCCACCTGGGTATTTGCACCCAAGTCTTTGGCCCTTTTCTGCTGCTTTCCCAGGAGGGTACATCAGAAGGGGTGCTGGGCGAGAAGTGTTGCAGCAAAGTTGGGACTTGAGCCTTCCTCGCTACACAGGATGCTGGCGTGGCCTGTTGTCACCAGAGCAGCCGGCACCTCTGACCTAAATTCCCTTCACCGGTGTCTGCTGCTGTGCCCTGCCATACATCAGACGTGTCCTCACTCCGTTTTGTTCACTGCTGTGGCCCCAGGGCCTGGAGCAGTGCCTGGTAGAGAGCAGGTGCTCTCCACGCTCACAGATGAGTGACTCCCCTGTCCCTTACTTGGCATCTTCTCCAGAGGATGTGCCAGCCAGATGTTTGTTGAGTAACCATTTTAGTCTTCTCAGGCTGCTGTCATAAACTCCCAAATACTAGGTGGCTTATAACCAGCAGAACTGCCTTTCTTGGGGCTGGTACTGGGGCTCAGCAAGGGAAGCCGCTGCCTGTGAGGCTGGCATCCCTGATGAGTGCTGGTTTGTGTCCTGGTTCCTTCTGATCCAGCTTCCTAATAATGGCCTGGAAAAAAACAGTGGGTAATAATCCAAGTGCTGGGACCTTGCCTCCCACATGGGAGACCCAGATGAAATTCCTGGTTCCTGGCTTTGACCTGGCCTAGTCCTGATCATTGCAGCCGCCTGGAGAATAAAACCTCAGATGGAAGATGTTGTTCTCTCTCCCTCTGTAATTCTTCCAAATAAGCATTTTTGTTAAAATACTATCCAGGGATCCGGCATGTAGCCTAGTGGCTAAATCCTCGCCTTGCATGCGTGTCAGGATCCCATATGGAAGTCAGTTCATGTCCTGGCTGCTCCACTTCCCATCTTGCTCCCTGCTTGTGGCCTAGGAAAGCAGTCGAGGATGGCCCAAAGTCTAGGCACCATGCGCACCCATGTGGGAGACCTGGAAGAAACTCCTGGCTCCTGGTTTTGGGTCAGCTCAGCTCTAGCCATTGCTGCCACTTGGGGAGTGAACTAGCAGATAGAGGTTCTTTCTCTCTGTATCTCCTCCTCTCTGTACAATCTTCCTTTCTGATAAAGATAAATAAATCTTTAAAAGTATGTATTTTAAAAATTGATTTGAAGTAGAGATACAGAGAAAGGGGAGAGAGGGGAGGGGGATCTTTCATCCATAATTCACTCCCCAAAGGGCTACAGTAGATAGCACTGCAGATAGCATCTTAAATGGGTAAACCACATCCCCTACCCCAATAAATAAACATTAAAAGAAAAAGAAAGAAATATACTTCCTACGTTCTGGAGGCTTTAAGTCAAGGTTGGGACTTCTGTTTCATGTGCTCCCCAGGCGGGAGGGGATGGGCAGCTCCCAGAGGTGACTCTAATCAGGGCACTGTTTCAAGAGGGGACTGTACCTAATCATCTTGGAAGGCCCATCTTGCCTGAGACTGTGGCATTGAGGGCTAAGGGTCAGCAGACATCAGGGGAGGCACCAACATCTAGGTTGGAGCAGGGGCCGAGTGGGTGAACTACAGCGGTCACCCAAGTGGGTAATGGAGGGGCAGATGGACAGATGGATGGATGGATGGAGTAACAGGCCACCTGCTTGAGCTGTCCTCCCCTTCAGGTCCCATCCCAGAAATGCCTGTCTGTTAGCAAGACAGTGGCCCTCCTCCTGCCTGCTAGCCCAGCACGGGGGGCGGGGGGGTTTCTGTTGATCTCAGGTCTGTGTCTCCTATTAGCTGGAGTAGGCATATAGAGGCGGCAAGGCTGCTGTTGTGTTTTCCAGGTGAGGGCATTGTGGCAGGGAGAGGACCAGCAGTTGCTCACATCAGCCAGCTGCCCGCACTCCTGACCCCTGGGCCGTGCTCCTGTGTCCCCGGGCTCCCTGCTTTATGCCCTTGAGAGCAGCCACACCTGGCAAGCTGAGGTGCAGGGCACACTGACCTCCTGCTGTCTTTCAGGGTCACCGGGAGCAAGAAGTCCACCAAGAGGACCAAGTCCATCAATGGCTCCCTCTACATCTTCAGGGGTCGGATCAACACGGAAGTCATGGAGGTGGAGAACGTGGAGGATGGAACAGGTGGGTCAACCCTGGGCGGGCTCTAGCCTGGCTGCAGCACCTGCTGCACTCTCCCTGCTTGGTGTAAAGGGGCATTCCCCCTCCCATGAGAAGTACAAGGCACCCAGCGTAAAGCAGCTGGGAGGTACAGCAGCTGGCAGGTACAGCAGCTGGGTCTTGAGTGTTGAAGTGAAGACAGCAGGTGTCATATTCCAGATTCCTCTCCATCCTAACACCTTCCTCCCCCAGGAAGGGGACCCACCGGAGAATCTGTAATAATTGTTTCTTTGATTTTTATAAGTGTTTTTACCTCTTTTGTATTCATTGCTGAACATTTTAATTAGAACTTCGGTCTTTGGACCTTGTGGTAAGCGGTTGTACGATTTGTACAGATCTGAGTGGTATTTTAGGTCTGTACTTGGTGGTGACACAGGTTTTATAACTGCATGTTCAAGTGAGAATGGGATACCATCTACACTGTCACAGCTCCGGGCCTTGGTGCTGATCTTCTGTGTTACTGTGTGTGGTTCTTGGTGGTTTGCTGGTTTCCATCTTGTGAATATTCTACAATTTATGCATTGCTTTCATGACCAGCATTTGAGTCTCGTCCCCCATTCGCTCTTTTTTTTTTTTAAGATTTATTTATTTTTATTGGAAAGTCAGATATACAGAGACTAGGAGAGACAGAGAGGAAGATCTTCCATCCGATGGTTCACTCCCCAAGTGACCACAACAGCTGAGCCAATCCGAAGCCAGGAGCCAGGAACTCTTCTGGGTCTCCCAGGCAGGTGCAGGGTCCCAAGGCTTTGAGCCGTCCTCAGCTGCTTTCCCAGGCCACAAGCAGGGAGCTGGATGGGAAGCAGGGCCGCTGGGATTAGAACCGTTGACCATATGGGATCCCGGTGTGTGCAAGGCGAGGACTTTAAGTACTAAGCTATTCGCTCTTAACAACAGTTGGTGCCGTGAGCACTCCTGTGTGCCTCTCCCAGGGTAGTGTGCGCCTCAGTTTGGGAAAGCCTTCTTTTTAAAAATACTAGACATTTAATTTCAAAGGCAGAGAGAGAATTTCTCCCATCTGCTGGTGTACTTCCCAAAAGTCCATACCAGCAAGGGCTGGGCCAGGCTGAAGCCAGGAGCTGGGACCTCCATTTGGGTCTCCCACGTGGTTGGCAGGGACCCAACCACTTCAGTTCTCAACTCCTGCCTCCCAAGATGGGCAGTGGCAGGACGTTAGGATTGGGAGTGGAGCCAGGAATCAAACCCAGGCTCTCTGACACAGGCTGCAGGTGTCCCAAGTGAGGTCTTCACTGCTTTGGGACAGGGGTTCTTGGTTGCTTGTGAGTCACAGATCCCTCCCTGGAGTGGTCCTTTCTCAGTCTCTGGCCAGCATCAGCTCCCTGGATGATACTGTCATGTTTGCAGAGATCTGCTAGCTCCCATCCCAGTGCGAAAGGCCCCTGGACTTGACCTGATGTGGTCAGGCTGCACTAAGACTTTAGGTCACCCCAGGGCCCTGAGGGGACAAGGGACAGTCCAAGAGGCATTCCTGGGCCCTGGCAGGTGTCTGCCTGTGAATTGTCTCCTGCACTTGAGGAGGAGTCCTGAGAGTCTCTACAGAAGATCTCCCTTGCCCACGGGGGATTAGCAGCAGGGGACAAGAACATCCAAAGGGGCTGAGCCTCCCTGCCCGGTCATGCTGCAGTGGGAAGGCTCTGCTCCCTGGCTGGCCCTGGGCTCACGCAGCTGAGTCCTTCTGACATGCCTTCGCCTCCCGCCCCCACCAGCTGATTACCACAGCAACGGCTACACCGTCACCAACGGCTGGAAGATCCATAACACCGCCAAGAACAAGTGGTTTGTCTGTATGGCCAAGACAGCAGAGGAGAAGCAGAAGTGGCTAGACGCCATCATCCATGAGCGGGAGCAGCGTGAGAGTGAGTGGCAGCTTGGCTCGGGGGAGGGACTTGCTTGGGTCCCTGGGTTGGGCACCGCTCTGCAGCGTGAGGGCTGTTCCTGGGGCAGGGGCAGAGGGCTCTTTCTAGAAGGATCAGAGCTGCAAGCATCAGGGCTTTGGATGGCTGGGGTGCACAGGGACTGCAGCGTACTCATGGGGTGATGCTGCAGACTACTCTCTTACAGCTGGTGAAATGGGCTCTGGTCTTTTTGCCCTTTGAGGACTGGAGCACAAGATGCTCCCTTTCTGCCCTGCACGCCCTGTGCCCTCAGCCCGAGCCTTCCTTTAACACTCACAGGGTCTGAGCTGGGGAGGAGGCTGCTTTGCACTCCCCATTGCACATGGGCAGAAGTCTCCATGAGGCTATGCATGCCAGGAGGCAGATGCTGGGTGGGTTAGGGTGGGCACTGAACCAGGCTGTCACTTCGAGCAGTGGTGCAGAGATCACAGAATGGGGAAAGGGAGGCAGGTGTGTTTGGGGCGAGAAGCTGTGGTCAGAATAGAGGGTCGTGTGGTAGGGCTGGGCGCATGTTGCAGGACATAGGGGAGCAGCCCAAGTGGGTCTGGTGGTCAGGACTGGGTTCGTAAGGTGTGCCTCTTGTGGTCAGAAGCCATCAAAAGTACAGATCCAGAGCCAGACTTCCTATGACACCCTTTTGTTTGGTGGCATCCCCACTATAGGCTGTGAACGCCATGGCTGCTTGAGGTACACGTAGAGTAGGTGCCGGTTGGGGAGGCAGCATAGGAAGGTGATGAAGGTACTCTAGGCCTTGGCCTCTTTTTTTCTTCTTGCCCCTCTATGAGATGGTTCTCCCGGGGAGCACATGACAGGTGTCTGGGCCATGACTGACAGCCAGGCTGGCAGCTGGGGTTGTGGTGGTGGTGGTGGTGGGGCTGACCTACCTTGCCAGGGCTGACCTACCTGCCGTGCAGGCCTGAAGCTGGGCATGGAGCGTGACGCCTATGTGATGATCGCAGAGAAGGGCAAGAAGCTCTACCACCTGATGATGAGCAGAAAGGCGAACCTCATCAAGGACCGTCGCCGAAAGCTGAGCACCGTGCCCAAGTGCTTCCTCGGCAAGTGAGTGCCCCCTCCACCCTTCCCTGTCCAGCCCCTGCCTCCCTCGGGCCCAGGCTCTCCAGTGGAGGATGCGGCGGGGCTGCCCTTGCATCTGCCCGCTTTCACTTGCAGCTGGCCCTTTCCGGCCCTGCCTTTCCGGCTGAGAGCCCTCCATGGGGGCACAGCCCTTGAGTACCCCAAGGGCTTAGGGGATGGGCCTCAGCAGTCAAGAAGGCATGTGGAGTCCCCGTATCACGTCCTGGAAGCGTGTTGGACCGCAGCCTGCAGGCTTACAGTGTGATATGCTCACATTCGTGTCCTGGATGGCTGCAGCCGAGGTCTCTTTCAACTTACCATGCATGGTTCCCTCTGAAGATCCCTGTTTTCTCTTCTGCTGTATTCCATCCCATCCCATCCCATCCCATCCCATCCCATCCCATCCCATCCCATCCCATCCCATCCCTGTTCTGTCCTGTTCTATACCAGTTGCTTCTTCATTTTCAAAATGCAAGCTAGCAAAACCATAGGCATTGGGCTTGCAGACTTCCAAGCCTTGCCCATTGTCATTGAAAGTGTCGCTATAGCCCTCAGGGAAAGGCAAGCTCCTATGGCCGATTCATGGCGACAGGTGCTGAGCACCATACATTCATTATCGCAAGCCTGGGTCCCTCTCAGCTCTGGGAGTCCAAGGTCAAGGTGTCAGCAGGGTCATCATGCTGAGTGTAGTAGGGGAGTGGAGCACTGTGGTGCTGGGTTCTTGCTTCCTCTCATCAAAAAGTGAGGTCCCCGATGATAACCAAGGGCTGCAGTGGCCTGAGCACAGGTGGGACAGGCTGCATCTTGAGCTTGGATCTCTCTCCTGGTGTTAGAGATCTCTCTCCTGGGACAGGCCTTGAGGAAAGGGGCAGGCAGAGGAAATTCAATCCTTACAGCTTTTCAGGCTGCTTCGAGGCCCTGCCATGCACTGGCCACTCTGAGAGGGCTGGGGGAGCAGGCAGGAGGTGCATGGAGGGGTCCCTGGCCTCATGTGGCTGCAAGCAGGCAGCGGCTTTATCTGGAATTTGTTCCCTTTTACCCACACCTTTCCCCTAAGCTCTTGGTTTAAAATTTTTATTTGCAGGGTAGAAGTCAGAGCAGAGCACCCCGTTTGCTAGTTTATTTTGCTTCAGTCGGGGCCCAAGGGAAGAGCTAGGAACTCAGGGCTGAACTCCCACGTGGAAAGCAGGATCCCAGTAACTGGAGGTAGAACTGGATCCAGGAACCAAACCCAGGTACTCTGGGGTGAGATGCAGGTGTAAAACCTATGACACCTGGTGCCCGCTTCCCTTAAGCTTTAGAAGGGGCTGAAGGTGCAAAGCTACTGGATGGTCATGGTGCCTGGGACTGGGTGCACCAGGACTTGCTCCAGGCCCGGACGCGTCCTGGACATTCAGGAGGGTGACAGCATTAGCCGCTGGGATGGCAAGGAGGGAGCTGAGGACAAAGTCCCTGGGAGGCTGGAGGTGCTGCCTTGAGAAGGGGAAGACGGCAACGGTGGAGGTGCGGTGTCACACACCTATGTGGGTCGCCTGGGGTCAGATCAGGCAGCAGAGTCCAAATTGGAGATGTAAGCGTGGGAGCCAATGGTGAGCTGACTTTAGGGCCATCAGCGAGGTGAGAAAGCACACCTGGAGAAGATGCCAGGGCCCTGCTTTCCACCCCATTCCAGGCAGGAACAGGCACAGGAAGCTAAAAGGTGGGTGGACAGCTGGGGGCCGTCCCAAGAGCCAGGTAAGGCAAAGGATGACAGGAGCCAGGGGTGGCACAGGAGAGTGGCTTGAGGCACCTGTTGAAATGTCTGATGTGGGCCAGGGCATTAGAGCTACAGAATGAACTTGGGGGAGCAGCCACAGGAGCTGTGAGAGTCCAGCACTGAGTTCCCAGCTTTCCCCTTGCGCCCCTGGCTGCAGCCACTGGGAGGTTTTTAAGTGTGGTGGGATACCTTGGACAGTTAGCCCATCGCCCTCAAGGGATGGAAGGATCTGAAGAGAGGGTGTGTGGGCTGGGAGGTTGGGAGGGCCCTCCTGGCCAGGCTGCCTTCCTGATCTTAATCCCAGGCAGGAGTGTGGTGGCATGCTCTGGAGAGGGCTGGCTTCCTGCCTCTGCGGTGTGAGAAACTGGTGGTTTTCTGCCAAGCTACTCAGTGCAGCGGGATGGGCAGTAACCTGCCTGCGGTTAGGGCTTCCAAGGAGTCTTCTGGTTCCATGGAAGCGTGAGGGGAGATCCTGAAGTGGCCAGGCTCGCAACTGGCTTTGCAACCCCGGCCTGGCTTTAGGCAGCACCTGGTCCCCACAGAAGAATGAGCTGGTGGCTGCAGGCACATTTCACGAAGCCCTTTTTCTGCTCAGTGGCTTTGGATTTGGATTTCTGCATACACTGAAGGCCAGGCACTGCCATTGTCCTCTTTTTAAGGGTGACAAGACCGAGGTCCAAAAAGAACTGGATTCCATGCAAGGTCACACAGCCATGAGGAGGGGTCAGGATTTGAACCCAGCCCATGCCGGTTTTCATTGCTCTCCACTCAACATTGCATTGGTCCCTCCCTCCTGTCCATCACCCTCTGGGGCCCCGGTGACTACAAGAGGGTTTCATTCATCTTTGCCACCTCCAAGGGTTGAGCTCAAGCCTCGGTCTCCCCACTTTCTAGTTGTATGACTTGGGGCAAGTTCTTTAAACCTCTCTGAGCTTTGGTGAGCTGATCAGTTAATGAGAGCTGATTAAAGGAACCTCACGGGCTTGCTGAATATGTAGTGAGATGCATAGTACCTGCCAGCCAGAGGAGTGGGAGCGCGTGGGGCTGAGTGTCTGGTCTCAAGGAGCAGGTCTGACTGAGGAGCCCATTCCAGGGTGTCCCATTATTTAAAAAAAAAAAAAAAGCAAGCCGTGACAGTTGCATGTTGTGGTGGACACCGTGGAGGGACATGGCGTTTGCCCTCTGGCATCCTCAGGCCAATGGGATAGAGTAGATTCATTCATTCATTCATTCTGGGGGCAGTGTTGTCCTCAGGGAGTCCTGCCCGTGTGATTGGAAGGGAGGGAACAGGTGTGTCATGATGGCTCCAGAGCTGATGGGTGCTACAAGGAAAAAGGGGTTGATGTAAGGAGAGGAGCAGGCTGAGTCTGCCAGGGGCTGCCCAGGAAGGGGGCTTGCTGTCCCACCTCGCTGTGTGCACAGATGTGGGGGCTGACCGGATGCCTCTGAGGGCATTCCCATGAAGAATGTTGGAGCCATGGAATCACAGGGTGAATGTCACGCCCCTGGACCCTTCACAGCTCCTGGCAGTGTTAGGCAAGAAGAGAATTCTTGGGCTGGGTGGTCCTAATGAGATGCCCCCGTGCGGTCCCATGCTTAGCCGTGGCTTTGACATGAAGCTGTCTAAATCACAGTTTCCCAGGGCAGTCAGGAAGGAGGTGGGCTTGACGGCCAACCCAGCTTCCCTCCCAGCCAGCCCCTACCTGAATCTCCAACTTCCCGTCCATCCAAGGGGACTTTCTCCCTACACCCACCTGCTCACTCCATGCTGTTCCAGGCCTTTCTGGAAGCCTGGTGACCCTGGCTCCCTAGCCCCAACCAATGGGCAGGTTGCTGGCATCTAACCCTCCCTTCACCCGGGCATCTATGCATGCCGAGCGCCCCCCCATCCCCTGTGCCCTTTTCCCAGTCCCCTGGGGGTGGTGAGTGGCACTGCGCTGCCTGGCACAGCTAGAGGTGTTTTCCTTGGCTCTTGCAATGTCGTCTCATGTTGGATTAGCTGCTGACCTTTAACAGCTAGGGAGGGTTCACAGGAAAGCACGGTGCTCCTGTTTTCCCATGACTTGGCCGTTTCCTCTGGTGGCTGCCGTCCTGAGAGGCCACCAGCACTGGCTTGTTCGGCCCAGGCTTCGCTCAGCCACTCTGCCCTGTCCGGGGATTTGGAGGGCCATGCCCCGAAGGTGACTCTTGTCTGGTCCTGGATGAAGGCTTCCCATGACGACACAAGTGTCCCTGCTGAGTCCAAGAAGAGCCCCGAGTGAACCTGTAGCCAGATAGACCCCGTGGAGGTCCAGAGGGGAACCCCTCTAGATTTCCAAGAAGGTGGCAGGACCAGGATCATGAGTTAGGGGCACCGTCCTTGGCCCCACAGCTTTGAGACCCACTTCCTGTCCTCCGCCCTGGCCTCAGGGCTGTGGGCCAGTGTTGGGGTGGACCTCCCTCCACCCGACAGCTGGTGGGCAGCTGGCCACGGCGTGCCTGCTTTGCGCAAGTTGACACACAAGGCCCTGTGGATGTCCTTCTGTGGCAGGCAGGCGGCTTTCTCCCTGCTCCTGTGTTTGGTGGCCTCAGAGGGGGCTGGCGGGGAGAGGGGCTCCTCTCCCTCAAACCCCTTCAGCCTCTGAGGAAGGCTTGGTGACCGCCCCAGCACTCTACCTCACCCCACCTCCACCACTACCGCACAGAAAGCTAAAAAGCTAAAAATAGCTGAGTCCTGCTGGCCCTGTCATTGGAGCTGGGACAGCTGGTTTAGAAAAGTGGAGAGCGCCCTACACAGGAAGAGACAGCCCCAGCTGGGCACTTCTTTCCCTACCCGCATGCAGTGGGTTGAGCTCTGTGCCGAGCCCAGGACCCCGGGGGACCTGGCTGAACCTCTGCCCCTCAAGCAGACTGGAAAGGCTTCTGGAACATTCCTCCTCGTGGATGGTTTGTTCATGAGTTCATTTGCTTGGTGAATGAGCCCTATTGTGACTTAGGCCATCAGTTGCTAGCAGGTAGAGAGCCCTGGGTAAGATTAACAAAAAGCCCCTGTTCAGGCAGAGATGACCTTCAGGTTGGGGAAGATAGCTGATAGACATGCAAGGTAACCGGAGACAGCTATGAGCACAGAAAAGCCAGGAACATCTGAGATGGGGTGATTGGGGAAGGCTTCTGTGAGGAGGTGGCTTTTGTGCTGAGGCCTAAGAGGTGAAAAGGAAGAGCTAAGGAAGACCCCTCTTCCCAGGAAGTTCAAGGGCCTTACAGCAGCAGCCACTTTGAAGGATGAACAGGATGGTGGGCGTGGCTAAATCCTCAGGTGTAGGAGAGACAGTGGCCAGGTGGTGCAGGTCATACAGTGCCCTGTCCTCACGCTGGCCACATCCGGGTGCTTTCCTGAGCCACGGGGAAGCCTGCTGGGGCTCTAAGTGTGTAGGTGACATGATGGACCACCGTCAGCTCTCTCCTCTACATGTTCATCCTTCTGGGCCTTCCGTTCACTCACCCACCTGTCCACAAGCCACCCCCTTCCTTAGCCGCCCAATCCTCTGTCCACTCCCACCGCCCTCTGTGCGTGCCCCATCTTCCTACCCAAGCGGTTGGCTAGCCATTCTGCTACCCACTCGCCATGCACCCCACCACTCCCGCCGTCATCCGTGTAGTTCCTCATCCCCTGTCTATGCTCTCATCCCCCTACCTGCCCCTGTCCTTCCCTCTGTCCACCTGCTCAGTTACCCAGCTGTTGGTCTATCCATCTATCTGTTTATGCATCCATCTGTGATCCATGCAGTCACCCACCCACCTCTGGGCTCATCCCCCTGCCTGTCTAGTCACAGATCTGACTGCTCTTCCACCAGCTGTCTGCTTCCATCATCCCTCCATCATCAGCTCCTACCCACCCATCTGTGCATCACTGCGTCGTCCGTCCACCAACCTGCCTGCCCATCTCCTCCTCCTCTTCTTCTTCCTGTCACCCATCCCTCATCTACAGACATGCCCACTCTTCTGCCATCAGCTGTGAGGCCTGAAGGTTGCGGGGTCCTGGGTTCTACCTTCCTGTGAGGCATCGGAGGTGTCCTCCCTGGGGTGCCTGCACTGGCCTGGGGACTGGGGTGGGTGGAAGAGGCCCTGTCAACTGGCCCTTGTGTTCCTGGCAGTGAGTTTGTGGCCTGGCTTCTGGAGATCGGCGAAATCAGCAAGACAGAGGAAGGGGTGAACCTAGGCCAGGCCCTGCTGGAGAACGGCATCATCCACCATGGTGAGTGGTGGGGCGGGGGCTGGGAGTGGCTGGGCCGAGGAGGGGGGAGCTGATGCAAGCTGCACCTCCCTCCTACTCAGCCTGGCCTCCCAGAATGCAGATACTCCCATCAGATTGCCTCTGGGGCAGAAAACCCAGCACTCACCCAGGGCACCAGCAAGGACAGTAGTGCCCCAGAAAGTTGGGGGGCAGGGGAGGGGAACTTTTTGTATATGCCTCTTCAGACAGGAAAGGATCGTCTGTTTACCCTTGAGGCCTTTGGCAGGGGTCTGCTGGCAACAGCACCTGCACAGAGAAGGCAGGGAGCGTAATGGGAGACACATCTGCAAGGGGTGTGGGTGCCAGGGAGCATGCCAAGCAGGGGAACCCGGGGTCAGAGTTGAGTAGGGCGGTGGGATGAGGCCTTGCCAAGAGTTGAAATCAGGACCTGGGTAGGGAGAGAGGAGCCCGTTGGGCACCGTGGTTCTGGGCCAGGAACAGCCACTGTGTAGTCCCAGGCAGGAATCTTAAAAGAGGCTTGTTCAGGAGTAACCCTGCGGCCAGCGTGGCTCCCTCCCTGGAGGCTGCAGGCTGACCTCGTGGGGGTGGCTTCTGTGCAGAGGGAAGAACTAACTAACTAATTAGCTCTCTCTTGAGCCAGCTCCTTCAGGGCCACGGGTGGCACCAGCAAGTCCCCTGGGCAGGGGGAAGTGGGAGGTGGCAGCTGCTGTGATCAGGGTGGGAGGGGTGGTCAGAGGCTTGATGTTTTTGAGGGTGCAGCTTAAGCATTTGCTGATGGATTGGAAGCATCAAGGCTGGCTACAGGGGTGCCGTGTAAAGCTGGTGGGTTCTGTCCATGTGAGTGCGTGGTCTCAGATCACAGCATGCCCACTCCTCACATGTCCTCTGCCAGTGAAGACCCAAGGATGGGCTGAGCCAGGCCAGAGGCATTGCCGGGCCTATTGCTCCAACAAGTGTCATCGGGGTCCCACATGCAGCTGGAGGGCCTGGCTTGCTCAGGGCAAGGGCCTTCAGCAACTCCCTGCCTGCATGGAGGCTGAGGCCGGTGGCAGGTGTATGTGCAGGTCAGGAGAGGCCTGGGAGGGGCCGTGGCCAGCCTGACCCCGATGCCCTGGGTCCCTCCAGTGTCCGACAAGCACCAGTTCAAGAACGAGCAGGTGATGTACCGCTTCCGCTATGATGACGGCACCTACAAGGCACGGAGCGAGCTGGAGGATATCATGTCCAAGGTGGGCAGCCCTAGGCTGAGGAGCGCCAGGGCCTCCGCTGCTGCCACCCTGCCACCCGCTTCACCCCTGCCGTCATCTGTCCCCACCGACACCTACTTTCCCATTCTGTTCCTTGCAGGGCGTGAGGCTCTACTGTCGCCTGCACAGCCTCTACACGCCCGTGATCAAGTAAGTCCCCATCTATGACCACCATGACTTGGCCTGCTTCTTTGGCCTCGGGGTTTGCAAGCTGAGTTCTGGGAGCCCTGGTGTGCTTGTGGGGGCGCTGTGGGTCTGCAGCCAGCCACTGCAGGTCGGAGCCCACCTGCTGGTTGCCAGCTCATTGACCCTGGGAGGGACTGTTTAACCTCCCTGTGTCTTGGCCCTTTTTCCTGGGGAAGGGGAAGTGTGGTTGGGTTCACCCCGGGGTGGCCTTTGCACCTGGTGCCCATGCTGTCCCCAGCCTCCCACAGACACTCACACTTGCACTGTCACTTCCTTCCAATGTCTCTGTGCCAGAGAGAGGAGACCTCTCCTAGCTGCCCTTGTAATGTGTCACTGTGCTGGGACACTTTTGTAACTTTACATTGACAAGTTCACCAAGTTTGTCATGACTTTGCCTCTGTGATTGGGTGTGGGTCTGTGCTGGAGGGTCGTGAATGAATTGTGTTTTGCCTCTCTTTCTGCATCTGTGAAATGGGTCTACAAAAGGCCCTTGTCCCTTGGGCCGTGACAAGGGTCTTATTCACTGAAGATGATCAGGGGTTCTCTTTCCTGTGAGTCCCAGAACTGTGGGTGAAGGGACGAGGGGTCACCCCATTTCTCTGCCCCTGCCCCCATGTTCTTGTCATCTCTCGGGAACACCTGTTGGCCCTGTGCTACGTGAGCCTGGGTATTTCATCTGCAGGTCTCCCCATCCCTCTTGGGCTTCCTTCCACTATACCCGCTAACCCAGCAAGCAGCACAGCACAGGGCAGGAGTCCCTCCCAGCCTTCCCCACCCAAGGCATCTGAGGTCACTATGCCATCAGCCGCTACAGGGCCTGGCCACGCACACTCACCTTCCTCAGCTCCCAAGAGGGCACCAGCCACAGTGCTGTGGCTCTTGGGCAGGAGTGCTGTGTCCTGATGGATCCAAGCCCTGTCCCAGGTCAGCTCAGTGAGCCCTGGGCTGGTACGGCCTTTGGCCCTGCCTCTGCAGCCTGCCTGGGCCCCACCCACTCAGTGCCCCAAGGTCATGACAACCCCAATTGTCTCCATCATGGCCAAGAGTTCCTAGGAAGGCAGGACCTGCTTTCCCTGCCTATCCGGGGCTAGAGACTTTCCAGAACCTTCCTTCTTTCCTTCATCCTGGGGGAGAGGGGAATGTTTCTCTAGATCCCATGCAAGTGGGGGGTGAGGGTGGGTGGTTCCTGGCTGAGACTCGGACCCCAGGCCTGCGCTTAAAGAGCCTGGTACGTCCTGCAGACTGTTAGGCCATGGTTGTCTCTGTGTCCGGCCTCACACACTACACTTTTTTTCCGCAGAGACCGTGACTACCACCTGAAGACCTATAAGTCTGTGCTGCCTGGGAGCAAGCTGGTGGACTGGCTGCTGGCACAGGTGGGCTGCCAGGGGCCACAGTTGGGGGCAGGACCAGAGAGAGTGGGGGCATCGCTGGAACACAACGGCATCTGTTTCCTCCTCCTATTCTGTTTCATTCCCTGCTATTTAAAAAAATTTTTTTAATTGTATTTATTTTAAAGATAGAGAAAGAGAGGTAGGGAGATCAAGATCTTCCATCTGCTGGTTCACTTCCCAAGTGACCTCCACAGTTAAGGCTGGGCTAGGCTGATGCCAGGACCTTCATCTGGGTGTCCCATGTGGCTACAGGGGCCCAAGAACTTGAGCCATCTTTCATTGCTTCCCAGGTGCATTAGCAGGGAGACAGATTGGAAGCTGAGCAACTGGGACTAAAACCAGCACCCACGAGGGGTGCTACTGCTGCGGGTGGCAGCTTAAACTAATGCCACTTCTAATGATGGCAGAATATACTTTATGTCTGGTTTCCTATGGTCCCTGGGTTTAAGGGTGTTCCTGGCCATGTTAAATATGTTCAAAACAGTGGGTGGCAGCTGCCCTCTACTGCAGGTGTCTGAATCTTGCTGAGTTCTGCCTGTACCCCTTAAGTGACTGCGCCCCTTGCTTCCCCCACACACACACCTATACCCCTGGGGAGCTGCTGGACACGTGGGGTTCACAGACCTATCTCAGTCACAAGGTGGGATGTCACAGCTCCCACAATCCCTTGCTTGCATGCGTGTCCCAGGCTGGCCAGTGCAGATTTCCCATTGGTGGCTGAGAACCATGGCCTGAGACCCTGCTGCTGCCTCCCCCTGGTTCTGCAGCAGCAGGCAGGGCAGGCCCTGGACCCAGGCATCTCAGTGTGGGATTCCTGGGTCTCAATTGCTAGGCTACAAGTCCACTCCTCTGGGTCTTCATTTTTTTAATTGACACTAAACAGCTGTCCAGCTGCAGAAAATGTGGCGTCTTTGCACAGGGAGCAGATTCAAGAATGGGCCATGTATTAGTCTAGTCTCCCTAGCTGGCTTCCATCCTTGAGGGTCACTTTGTGGCCCAGGATGAGGTGGGAGTTCCAGCCATCACATCTTGGTCCCCTGAGGCAGAAGAGGGAAAAACGGGTGAGAGACAAAGGAAGCTTAGCTGGTGGGTCTCTCTGCTTTTTCTCCCTGGGAGCTGGAAAGTGGGTGAGGGTGTTATCACTAGGGAAGGATCTAGAAAGGGCTGATGCTGGACAGCAGGGTGTGTTGCACATCACAGCCTTCCCTCCTTGGTGATTGTCAGGAGTACACCCTGCCATGCAGTTGTTGTGGGGGCTGGCTCATCATGGCACACAAATCAGGGTGCTCAGACACGATCCGCTTAGCCCCACGCCCCTGTTGTCCCAATGCAGGGAGATTGTCAGACACGGGAGGAGGCAGTGGCGCTCGGCGTGGGCCTGTGCAACAATGGCTTCATGCACCACGGTAAGCCCCCCTCCCCTGCCCAGCTACACTCCCTGTGCCACCTGTTACATGCACCAGAGACAAGGGTGGGGGTGGGGAGGGAGGATAGCTGGAGTCCAGAGAGAGCATGCAAGGTGCTGGATGCTGCACAGCACAGCACAGCATGACCCTGAAGGTGCTGGCTCAGGACAGCTCACAAGGGGTGCTGGAGGTGGAATCCTGCAGGGAGACCCTGGGGACCATAGTGGCCCCTGAGGGATGGGGACAGGGCTTGGGTTTGAAGTCAGGCCCCTTGGTGGCCCAGGCATTCTTTTTTGCACTGGATATGGCCTCCTGCTGGCTTGACAGCCAGGCCCAAGGACCCAGGCTTGACCCTAGGGCTTCTCATGGCTCCTGTAGGGGACAGCAGACAGGTGAGTTGTAAAGGTGGGCAGGGGAGCTGGCAGGTCAGGGGCGCCAAGCTCTTGTCCCGACACCCCAGGGGTGTTTAACTCTCCCCTTCTGCAGGACAGAAGGTTGCCTTCCTACTCCTGCCAGGCCATCTTTCCTGGCTTCTAGAACATTCCTGAGAGCCTTATGGTTGTAGCTTGTCTTGCTTAGATTGCTCTGCCTGCCCTACCCTCACCCCATTTAGGCTTTCAGCGCAGCGGTGATGTCAGGGGATGGGTGTGTAGGTCCCAGCCCAGCAGGGCAGTGTGCGTGTGGCTTGGCTGCCGGGAAGGCTGTGTTGCATCTCCTGTATGCTCTGCTTTTCTGTCCTAGCTCAAAGGCCAGAAACCTCTCTGATGAGGGGTCTGAGAGTTGGGGTCCCGGGCTCCAGGGCTTCTGTTCCTTGGTAGCAGCCTGGTACCTGCAGCAGGGAGCAAGTGACCAGACAGGGTTGCTTGCCAAAAACTTTATTTAGAACACTGAGTGGTGGCCTTGGGTTTTGGAACCCTGGTGCTGGATATGCTGTCCCCTCAGGGGGCTGGAGGAGGGGTTGGTGGTGGTGGTGAGAGGCTGTCAGGCCCACCCATGCCAGCACACTTCCCCTGGAGGACCGACTCTTTGCTGGACTGCAGTTTCTGCTGTCACCCACTACAGGCCTTGCTGGGCCCTCTGGTCTGAGCTGGTATGCCTATGGTCACTGGTGGACAGGCTGGGCCCACCCATGCACCGTGTCCTGCTGCCGTGTCCCCACGGGGTGGAACCCCTCATTTGTGGGAGGGAATAATTAGGGGTCCGCCCCAGCCGCTATTCTGGGAAGGCTGCTGGTCGAGGGGTGACTCCTGTGCCACCCCAAGGCCTCAGGGCCCCTGGGAGAGAAATTGCAGGGTGTGGCCCCATCCCCCTGCTGTCTGCCACGAGCTCAGAAGCTAAAACGGGAAAGAGCCACGTCCAAGGCTGTGGTTGCAGCCAGGGTAGGGCACGGCCCTCGCCTTGGGGGCTGGACTGAGCGGTTCCCCCCAGCCCTCTCCCCAAGGCAGACACAGGGAAGCAGAGTGCCATGCCCCACTCCCTGCCACTCCCAGCACCCAGAGTCTGGGTGCTGCTGTTACTCCGGCTGATGAGGGGCACTGAGGCTCGGGTGACGGCTGCAGCTGGTGGAGGGCAAAGCTGGGGCCTGGCACATGCGTGTGAGGGTTCCTGTGTGATGTTTCCCCGACCTCTCCATTAGTCCTGTGTCATCCTCGCTCCCGCAGGCCCTGCACCCAACCCCCTGCCCTGTGATTGAATGTTTGCAGTGGAGGATGGAAATGCCACCCCCGGGGCCTGGTGTGTGTGTCTGTTGTCTCGAAAGGCAAATTTAGGGGCAACTCAAGAATGATGCGTCACCTGAGTGGGCTGGTGGCGTGTGCAGGGAGGTGAGGACCACCTGCAGCCACTCCCCATGTGGACACCTCTTGGGACACAGCCTCTATCCACAGGCTAGGGGACGTTTCGTGGCTGAGGCAGCTGACTCCCGTCTGGCCCCTCCCACGGCTGCTTTCCCTTCTTGATCTCAAGTTTCCCTTCTGTGTCCAGCAGGCCTGGTTGCAGGGAAGGGTCTTTCTGCTGCTACTGGCTCTGTGACTTTGGCCCATTGGCCCATTTGTTCAGCCTCTCTGGGCCTCAGTTCCCCCATCTGTCAAAGGGGCACAGCGAGCCCCACACTCATCCAAGGAATGAACACCCACGGCGTGGATCCATGACACTCGGTGCAAGTCGGTGCTCCACTGAGCCATGAGCCACCAGGACATTAGCTCACATGTCAGTTGCTCCTGGTTGTCATTTTGTCCTTTGTTTTTCCTTGCTTGTCAAGGGGAAAGAGGTCCGCTTGCTGTATGGGCCCAGATGGTCAGGGTCGAGGCTTTGTGGCCTGCCCAAGCCTGGCCATGATCATGCAGCCTTGCCACAGATCGCACGCAAGTGAGTGAGTGTGGCTGCGTTCCAATAAAGCTTTATTTATAAGGACAGTGGGGCACGGGCCACCCCGGGCTTGTGCATGGCCGTGGGTTGCTGGCTCCTGCTGCCATGGCTTCCGTCGTGGCGTTTCTGCTGCCTGTGCGGGTCCCCTCTGCTCATCAGTTGTCCATATCCCTTGTCCTTCCGGTGGCAAGTCTCTTATCTGCTGTTCTCTCATTGCATCTTCTGGTTTTTCTAAATACTTGCTCCTGCTGGTGTTAGACGCTATCGTAGTCTTCGAATCTGCCTGTGGAGCCATCACGTTGAAGTGACTGTGGTTTCTCTTGGAGGGCTGTGTGTCCACAGCTGTGTGACACACTTGGGTGGTGATACTCTGCATTTAGCTCACTTTAGTTTAGTTCGACCTGTCCTACTAAAGCCTTTGGGGTTTCTTGCTGTCTGTATGGTGAGGAAGGGATGGGCTTTGTCTTCCCCTCCCTCACTGGGGGAGCAACTTTCCATCTGCGGAGAAACCCCCGCCATGGTTGTGTGCGACCCAGTGTGTGCTAACTGCCCATGAGTCCACCGTCCTGCTGTGTGGCTTCCGGCTTCTCGCCCTGGTCGCTTCTCTATGATCGTGGCTTTGTGAGGCAGTTCATCTGCGGGCAGGGCAAGCCTGGCGTTTTCAGCACAGGTCAGGAGGCCGGGACGTCGTGGTGCGAGGTCCCCAGCTGAGTTAGCACAGGCACGGCTGCCTGCTCCACAAGACTGTCCACGTGCTGGCTCTCCAGGGGCTGCCTCCTGCACAGGCTGCCGGAGCCCCCGCCCACCCTCCCCGACAGGTGACGTGTGACCGTGTGCCTTCCTGCGTGTGTGTGTGTGGCCCCGCAGTGCTGGAGAAGAGCGAGTTCAAGGACGAGTCCCAGTACTTCCGGTTTCATGCCGACGAGGAGATGGAGGGCACCAGCAGCAAGAACAAGCAGCTGCGCAACGACTTCAAGCTGGTGGAGAACATTCTGGCCAAGCGCCTGCTGGTAGGAGCGGAGCCCGACGGGGAGCCTCCTTCCTGGAGCCACCGGGATACCCTTGGACTGGGGCAGGGAGCCACTCCCACAGGGGGGATTGTCCTCCCCACCTGGCTGCCTGCAGGGCGGTGAAGGTGGAGGGTGGGGCAGGGCAGGTGTTTGTCACGTTAGGCCCCCTGCACCCGCTGCGGATGCTGACCTGTGAGCCTGGGGCCCTGTCCATGGTCAGTGCTGTAGCTAGCCTTAGGGTTATGGGACAGCATTTGCCCTGCTCAGAGGGTCTGCCGCCCTAGCCCACCACATCCTGTTCTGCTCACGGCTGATTGAGCCGTTGTGCCAAGGTGTGGCCCACAGTGGATGATCCAGGGAGGCCCCAAGGTGCCAGGCTTCTCCCTTCACACACTGTACTCTAGGCCCCCCAGGTCTCCTTGGCATACACTGCTGCCCGGAATCCCTTCCTCACTTCTGCTTCTCACTTCGCAGGTGTCCTTAGTAGCACCTCCCCTGGTCCCATCCCCTTAAGTGCCTTCTGTGGATTTAAGCTTCGCAGCCCCGTACCACATTCCACATCTCCCCCGTGGGCTCCGGGTGGGCAGGGCTGCCTGGCTTGTTGAGCCCCCAGTGCCCACCATTGCACCTGGCACAAGTAATGAATGGGCAGCCATGTAGTAGACATTGGTTGGGTGCGTGCATTTCTAAGCCAATAAATATTGATTGACTGAGCACCCATGGGATGCCAGTTTAGGGGTAAGCAGATTTGGTAAGCGAGGAGGCTGCCCCCAGGTGGGGAGTGAGGAGACAGGCAGTGAGCTTGGACTTGGCACACTGGCCCTGGTGTCTGAGCCAGCTGGTCCTCATTTGGCAGACCAGCTCAGGGGGACTTCTGAAGCCAAATGGAATGAAATGGTGATTTTGTTTCGGTGTGAAAACGTTGGAAGCCATGCAGACATGGGGTCTTCAGAAAGCTCATGGAAGAATGCGTATCTTGAGAAAAAAATCTATGCTTGGAATCCAACACTTATTCTGTGTGTCCAGATACACTTGTTTTTTTCATTCCATTTTCCCAAGAACTTTCTGGAGTGGCCGCATATTGACTAGCCCATGTGCCAGGCGCTGTTCTGCCATGGGCTGGCTTGGGTCTTGCTGCTCCCCAGTGCCCTCCCCTGGGTATTGGTCACTGGTGGGAGCAGGGTCCTGTGGACACTGGAGTGGCTAGCTCACCAGGCTCCTCTGCCCCGGGCCCCTAGATCCTGCCCCAGGAAGAGGATTACGGCTTCGATATTGAGGAGAAGAACAAAGCTGTGGTGGTGAAGTCTGTCCAGAGGGGCTCGCTGGCTGAGGTGAGGCTCCAGGCTGTGTGTGGCGGCCAGGAGGGCGGGTGGCCACGTACTGTGAGGCCACGACACACCGGGCTCCAGGCTGTCAGCTAGTTCCTTCTCTGCTCACTATGCCCACGCCGGGAGTGGACTCCAGGACCCTGGGTGGCCCGCCTGCGCCCTCTCCTGGGCATGGTGGGAAGCCCAGGCAAAAAGCAGAGATTTCCGTCTCAGGCTGTGTGTGGTTGGTTCCAGTGGCTGGGTGGGATGCATGCACTGCTGTCTGGGTCAGGATGGCACTATCTGTGGCTGTCCTAGGACTCAGCCCGGGCCATCTCTACATTCCCCGGGTGTGGAGGCGATAGGAACCAGGCCATCCAGTGCTCAGCTTGCCCACTCTGACCACCCAGGGATGATGGGAGATATGCCCCCTCACCACATCTTGGTCAGGCCCTCGTAGGCCCAAGTCCCCAGGCTGAGAGGCAGGCCATGGCCGAGCTCCTCACTGAGGGGTGATGCCCATCCACTCATCCCTCCATGGCTGCCCTCCATGGCTCATTGATTAGCACCTGCCCGGTTGGTCGTGTTCCTTAAGCTCCACCCCGGAGGGCCCTGGGGTTTGAGGCCTCTGTGAGGGATTCTCAGTGAGCAGGGGAGGGGGCCAGTAACCTGCATTTCTGTCCTCCCCAAGATGGCTGGCCTGCAGGCAGGGCGCAAGATCTACTGCATCAATGAGGACCTGGTGTGCCTGCGGCCCTTCTCCGAGGTGGAGGCCGTCCTCAACCAGTCCTTCTGCTGCCGCCGCCCACTGCGTCTGCTGGTGGCCACCAAGGCCAAAGAGTGAGTGTCCCTAGGGCCGGGAGCTGACGGGGCCAGGGCAGTGAGCAAGAGGGCAGGGTAGGCCATCGGATTGGCAAAGCAGCATGGCAGGAGGCAGGTGGGGCCGGGGCTGCAGGCCCTGTGAGACCTTAGGTCTGTGGCCAGCACCATGCAGAGGCACTGGAAGGTCCAACAGAACCCCTGGGGCCACACGTCGAGCCAGATCATGGAGGGGTAAGGCCGGGTGCAGGGGGACGGGAGGCGCCAGCAGCTCAGCCTGTGACCGTCAGCTGGGGGGTCAGTGCTGGCTGTTTGCAAAGCCCTGCCTCTGGCTCCCTCTCCTCCCTGCTACTTAAGGCCGTGCATGGCTGTGGGAATTTGGGTAAGTTTGAAAGACAGCCGTGTCAGTAGAAGAGCATGCGAACTCCAGAAAAACCAGCTGAAGTCCCAGGGACCACGGGGGGGGGGGGTGTGGGACGGCTCCTGAGTGTGTCTGCTGTCATCAAGTGTGCCCCAAGCAGGGCTCCCTGGTTCTGTGGTGTTTCTCTGGAGTGAACACAGGCTGTCTTTGTCACCCTGCTAAGGGGTGATGCCTGGTCCCGCCACTGGGAGCGCTCAGGAGCAGGTATAGAGCAGTGATCTCACATCCATGCAAATCCTGGGGGTGCCGGGGCTGTGCACCTGTTGCTTTGCAGGTTCTCGCATCTCTGGGCACTTGCACACCTATGGCTGCTGAGACAGGGATGCTGGCAGGCCCACGGGGGTACCAGGGACCAGGATGTTTTTCCCAGATGACCGTTCCTTACTGCTCTGTAGGGTCATCAAAGTCCCCGACCAGCCCGAGGCCCTGTGCTTCCAGATCCGGGGGGCGGCCCCGCCTTACATCTACGCAGTGGGGAGAGGTGAGCCCGGTGGGGGCGGGGAAGATCTTTACAGAGAGAGGGAGCTGCCGGAGGGGGATCTGCCCCCATGGCCAGAGTATGCCCAAGCATCCCAGACCCTTGCCAGGGAATGCACCATTACCCTAGGGCTTACCTTCTCTGCTCAAAGCCAAGACTTGCAAATGTAGATGCCTGTGGCATGGAGTGACCTGAGTAGAGAATACAGGAGGGAATGGTGAGGTCTGTGGCAGAGAGAAAAAAAAATAAAAGGTTGCCTGCCTAAACGGGCAGGTTGCACTTTCATTCCAGTGCTTAAGTAAGCACAGCAAGTTGCACTTTTCTCAAGCTCTTCTTGCCCTCTCCCCCTTCAGCCCCATGTTCCCCCCTGCACAGGCCAAGCCTGCATGTCATTGTGTGACTGTGTTCTTTTGTGCCAGTCACATAAAACCCTGGGATCCAAGGCTGGTAGCCTGGGAATCATGGCATAGCTGAAAGCAAAGTGCGCCTGGCAGCTGGTCGACCTGGCTTGATTCCTGGCAGCTCCTAGCTGGGCAGCGTTGAGGGAGGTCTCTGAGCTTCTCCAGGACTGTCTGGCCTCTGTGCCAGACACAGACGTTCCTGGCTCACTGTCGCCTAGGAGGCTACAGAGCTGGAAACAAAGCTCTAGAACTTTCCTTGCTGCACAGCCTTGGCAAGCTGCTTGTCTCCCTCTCTCCCAGTGGTGGTGCCCATCCCTGCTGTGTCCAGCACAGTGGGCTGGAGGGGGACATCAGGTTGGGAGGGAAGGAGGTGGTATCTTTGGCCTGGCTCAAGGGTGGGCATGGTGTGCAGCCTGTTGCCTGTTGCTGCCCTGGGTCTCTTTGCCTGGCACCCAGCCTCTAGGACTCAGCCCTGTCCTGCACCGCCCCACTGCCCTCCTTCAGGTTCAGAGGCGGCGGCGGCAGGGCTGTGTGCTGGCCAGTGTGTCCTCAAGGTCAACGGCAGCAGCGTGGCAAGCGAGGGTGCCCCCGCTGTCCTGGAACACTTCCAGGCGTTCCGTAGTCGGCGCCAAGAGGCCCTGGTGAGCCATCCCTGGCCTAGCCCTGAAGAACCCCAGTGGGGTGTGGGATAGGGTGAACCCCCTCTTCTTAGGCACAGAGGGTTAGGCATGCCGGCCCATGATAATCTGTGGCCTGTTTTCATAGCTTTGAAATGGGGCCTAGACCACAAAGGCATGTTGTGGCATTGATGAGAGAAGCTGGTGCTGCTGGCCGGGTCAGGTCTCATCAGAGGCCAGTGCCGGACGTTCTGGGCACTACCCCGTGAGCGCAGTTTCTTATGCTGTTCAGCAGGAATGGCCGGCCCCATTCTGCCCATGGCTGCAGGCTCCAGGGTGGGAGGTTGCTGGGGACATAGCCACAACCTTATATTCACCCCGGGGGTTCTTCCCTGGGCTTCCCGGGAACACTGGAGGCCCCTCAGGATGACTGCAGAGTGCAATCTTGGAGGCCTCTCCAGAGGTGGCAGCCCCCTGGGTTCCTGGCACCACAGCTGCCCCAGTCACTGTGGCTCCCTCCCAGGGCCTGTACCAGTGGATCTACCACACCCATGAGGATGCCCAGGAGGCCCGAGCCAACTCCGAGGGCCCTGGTGAGGACCCTGGCGGCTTGGGAGCCCTAGAAGACCAGCCTGAACCAGGTAACGAGAATGGGGAGGGAGGAGGTGACGGGAGCTTCTGGAAGGGTGGGGTCTCTCGGGGGTGCCGGGTGCCCCTCCCCCAATCTAGCGTCCCATTTTGCTGCTATGACAGCTGTGTCACAGTCGTAAGGTCCAGGGTTCCCGAGTCCCAGCTGCCTCTCCCTGGGCTGGGGTCAAGGTGCTTCCCCAGGCTCCTCGTGGATGGCCCAAGTCACACATACACCACCTGGCTGCAACTCTTCTGCCAGCCTGGGGTGGCAAGGGGCGAGGGCAGGCTGAGCAGCACGTGTGGATGACCTGCGTGACCATCCAGCACTGCCAAGGACATGGGTGGCTTCCTGGACCTGTCCCCCTGCCCATGATGGACCTGTCCTGGTGAATGCAGCCATGGGCATTGCACACCCAGCATGGCACAGATGGAATCCAAGCCCGCCCTTCCCCAAGGCGCCTCATCTGGGTCCTTCCCTATGTTATGTTGTCTCTCTGTGGTGGCGCTGGCAGCTTGGCACCCTAAGAAGAAGTGGGTATCTCTGCCTTTCAAACAAGCAAACATAGTTCGTCTCCTTGTTGACGCAGCGTGAATCCCAGACCTGACTCTCGATGGGCCAGCGTGGGTCACGTGCTCATTCCGGAGCCGGTTCCAGGGACTTAGAGGATGCTGAGTGGCTAATCCATCCTCCTGCCCACTGTGTGGTTCCTGACACCTGGGGAAGGCAGTGGGGGAGGGCGGGAGGGGTAGGAGAGGATGCCAGGCAACCTCGGGACCTGTCACTAGTCCTCAGCGCGGCCGCCCCTCTGCCCCTGCAGTGTTCCCGCTGCTGTCCCTGGGCCCCCAGCTGAGCCTGCGCGAGGACAGCCCCGTGGTTAGCCTGACGGTGGACAACGTGCACCTGGAGCACGGCGTGGTGTACGAGTACGTGAGCACGGCCGGCATCAAGTGCCACGTGCTGGAACGCATCGTGGAGCCACGCGGCTGCTTCAGCCTCACGGCCAAGGTCACTGGCTGCTGCCCTGCCCTGGGGAGGGAGTGGGGGATCAGAGGGGGGAGGGTGCACCTGCTTCTTCTTGCCTGTGAGGTCGCCTCCCCCTCCCCCAGGAGAGTGACTCGTCCTCTCAGTGCCTGCCAGGTGTACCCAGGAAGCACTGCCCTCCCAGGGATGGTCCCTGACATCAGCTGGGCACACTCAGGAGCCATCACCTGTGTTCTGCAGGTGCTGGAGGCCTTTGCTGCCGATGACAGCGTCTTCGTGCAGAACTGTGGGCGGCTCATGGCCCTCAGCAGCGCCATGGTGACCATGTCCCACTATGAGTTTCGCAGTGCGTGTGACACCAAGCTCGAGAGCCTCGGCCGGAGGATCACCCGCTACCAGGAGGTAGTGGTTCCCTGCCTGCCCATCTCTCCCCTGTGTGGCCTCTCAGCCTGGGGTGCAGGGGCGCTCTGCACTCCTGACTTCAGAGCCCCTGCCCAGTTGAGCCCGGGGCAGCTGGGGAGGCTCTGTGGACTGTGCCCTTGGGAAGGACAAGTGGCCCGTAGGTGTCTGCATGCCTGTCCCGGGGGCCTCTCTGCAGCTCTGACTCTGCTCCCTCCATGTCGGCATCAGCACTGCTGGGCTCCCGCGTGACACATGGGCCTCTGGCTCTGGCTGCAGCCTCTCCCTTCACCCCCAACCCACCAGCACACCACACACAGACAAACACACCATGAGAAGTGAACTTGAGCTGTAGTCTGCCTGGCTCAGAGGCACCCTCCCACACCTGCCCAGAGCTTCATGGCCTGCACCACCAGTATAGTGCAGGGAGTCCCTGGTCCCCTTGGGAGCGGCAGCATTTTCTCCGGCCCCACGGCTCCTGCCTTTCGCAGTTTGCAGCTCAGCTGAGGAGCAGGGTCAGCCCAGCCTTCAAGCAAGCACCCCTGGAACCCCACCCACTCTGTGGCCTGGACTTCTGTCCCACCAACTGTCACATTAACCTCATGCAAGTGTCCTACCCCAAGACCACGCCCTCAGTGGGCAGGTCCTTCAGCATCCGCTTTGGGCGCAAGCCTTCCCTCATTGGACTTGATCCAGAGCAAGGTGCGTGTGTATGTGTGTGTGTGTCTGTGTGATCATTCACTGACACCCTTGCTGTGGCCACACGGGTGGGGGCAGGAGGAGCAGGGCAGTTTCTGAGCCAGTGTCCTTCCCCCACCTGTAGGCCACCTGAACCCCATGTCCTACACCCAGCACTGCATCACCACCATGGCCGCCCCGTCCTGGAAGTGCCTGCCTGATGCAGACACGGACACCCTGGGCCAGGATCTCAGTGACCCTAGTGGCCAGGAGGACCGGGGCCTGAGCTTCCTGCTCAAGCAGGAGGACCGGGAGCTACAGGACGCCTACCTGCAGCTCTTCACCAAGCTGGACGTGGCCCTGAAGGAGATGAAACAATACGTTACACAGATCAACAGGTGAGCCTGACCGCAGATTGCCCAGGGGCTGGGCGGGCATCTGCAGTGGCATCCTCCTAGGTAGCTCCCTGTCCCACTTAGGCCCTTGACTCCTGGCACCAGAGCTTCCGAGCCCCAAGTTCTTGAAGACCAGAGATGCCCCCAGGTTGGGGACAGGGTGTGGGATTCCCAGAGAGACCCTCCCTCTCTGGGAGGTACAGGTAGCGTGGCCATGGTGCCCGAGTCGGGGGCAGAGCCAGGCAACTTGGTACTTTGAACCTGGCACCAGGAGAGGGAGCCTGGACCTCGTGTTTCTCGGTTGAACATGACATGTATAGACTTGCCCACTGATGCCCTGGTTGACAGATAAGCAGGGCTCCTCCTGCTATGAGCCCAGGCCTCTTTGCTGTAGGGTGTGGGGAATATGGGGCAGAAGGGGGGACGACGATGGGCCACCTCTGGAGGAAGGGTGACAGATTGTCTGCCCAGCGAGTGACAGGAGTAAGAGGAGAACTGTGAGCCCAGGCGGCCAGAGCTGGGGTGGGGATGGATCTGACCTGGGTGCCTGGGCATGGATGGGGTATGGCTGGCGTCAGGCACGGCGGAAGTGGGCGGCTGTGCTTATGTGCTCAAGCCCCATGTCATAGCTCTGTGTCACACCCATTGCTGAGACTGTCACAGATACCTTCAGACACAAATACCTGTGTCACCTGCCTCCTGTCCTCTGGGGGCAGGGCACAGCCAGTCTGGATGAGAGCCACGTGTGCACACGAGTCTCTGGGGCAGATGGGTTTGGAATCCTGTGATAGACAAAGCCAAGGACAAACTTAGGGGCCCAAGGCGCGGCCTGGAAGCTCCCCGCCCTTTGGCCTCTCTACGATGTGTGCAGTGAACATCGGCTACAACTCGAGTCCTCCCTAGCTCTGCCTCCTGGTCTGTCTCTTGCCGACTGCTTGGTCCTGGGAAGGTTGCTTAACCTTTTTGGGCCTTTGCTGCCTTATTGGTGCAGTGGGGCTGACGGTGACTGTGAGCTGCTGGATGTGCGGTCAGGGTCTGCCTGGCCAGGATCGGTGGCGGCTCACACGTGCCCTTCTAAGCACATCCCCTGCTTGAGTCCCTGGATCTCCCGCTGACTGAGGGTGTAGGTGCCGCCTGACCCCATTTTACAGATGAGGAAGCTAAGGCTGAGAGCAGTCGAGTCATCTGCTCTAGGTTCTAAGCCAGGAGAAGGCAGTGTGAGGGTTAGAGTTGGGGGTCTGCCTGCTCCATGCTGGGGCTGGGGCCCGGGTCCAGCCCCACCCACTGCCTGCTGTTTTGCTAAGTGAGGGTTTATGTGGACACGGCCGTGCCTCTGCCTGCTGGCCAACACGTGTGCATGAGCTCCCACCCTACTGCAGCAGAGACCATGTGGCCTGCAGAGCTGGGGATATTTGCGCTCTGGCTCTGTCCAGTGTCCCCAACCTGGGGTCAGCCAGGAGGTCAGATCCCAGGGGCCACTCTAGCTACACCGATGGCCACAGGGGTGCTGGAAGGATTGTCCATGAAGGGGCATGAGGCATTTGGTGGCTCCTTCCGTGCAGGGTCAGAGGTCAGGACCTCGTCCAGGCCTATGTCCTGGGTCTTGAACGTGGGTGTCCTTGCTCCCCACAGGCTGTTGTCCACCATCACGGAGCCCACGTCGGGTGGGGCTTGCGACCCACCCTCGGCCGAGGAGGCTTCCTCGTCCCCCCTGGTTGGGGAGGAGAGCGAGATGGACAGGAGTGAGCATGGAGGCATCAAGAAAGTGTGCTTCAAGGTGGCTGGGGACGACCAGGAGGACTCTGGCCATGACACCATGAGCTATCGCGACTCCTACAGGTGACCACGGCCACGGGAGCGGGTTGACGGGGGAGGGCAGAAGCCGAGGGAACGTTCCTGGGATGCAGTGGGCCTGGGGGGCTGTGTCCAACGTTGTGGTTTGGTCCCCTGTGTGGGAGACCCAGCTGCAATTCTTGCGACTGCTGGCAACCTGAGGGCCCAGTGTTTCTGTCTACACTGCAGATAAGTGGGTTCTGGGACTGGAGGGAGCGACTCAGTCCCTTCTCTCGGCCCCTTTGCAGCGAGTGTAACAGCAACCGGGACTCGGTCCTGTCCTACACCAGCGTGCGGAGTAACAGCTCGTACCTGGGCAGTGACGAGATGGGCTCCGGTGAGTGCGATGGGGGTGCCGGGGGGGGTACCGCATCTGCCGCTGGCACCCTGTTCATTGTAGTGTGCAGCTGTGTGCCAGCACTACTCCTCACTCAGTGAGCATCATCAACATGATTGTAGAAAGCAGTTGTCTGAATTGTGGGCATTTCAGGAAGGGTGTGCTGTGATCGCTGAGTGTGCATCCGTGTTGCTCTGCTCACTAACACGCAGCAGCCACACGTGCTGCAGGGCACGGGGTTGGCAGCGTGCACAGATCCGTCGGGGTCATGACTATGCTCTCTGTCATCCCCACCTTCGGTTTCAGTCCCCCGCGCCCAGGCCTTGTGGTGCTGTGGCCCTCTGAGATGGGCAGGGGACACGGGACAGTGGAAGCATGTGTGATGCTGTTGGGTCTGATCTTGTCCAGTCCTGTGTGATCATGTATGATGGGTGGTCATGATAGCCATGTGACCCGGGGGCTCCCGGAGGAACAAGACAGACCTCAGAGCAGAGGCTCCCCTCCCCCTGCCATGAGTGTGTGGACCTGAACTGTGACGGCTGTCATGCAGGAGGACATGGGTGACCACATCTTTAGGCCCAGAGGGACAGACAGATGGACAGGCCTGAGGAACGCTGTTACAAGTCAGAGCGTGCCAACCTCAGTGTTCAGCCTGGGAACATGGTCCATGATTCAGGATGCTGGGGTGGCAGATGCAGAGGGCCCAGGACGTACCTTCCTCCCAGCCTTCCAGTTTGTAGGCTGTCCCCACTGTCCCTGCTGTGCCCTCGGAGGTGGTCAGTGCATGGAGTAGCAGAAGTGGAAGTAGTCCAGTCATGTGAGATCAAGCTGGGATCACGTGAGGTTCTTGGCTGCCGAGCCAGGCCAGGCAGCAGTGGGTCATGCCGCACCGAGGCAGCCAGTGCCGGGCAGCAGCGGGTCGCCACTGCACTGAGGTAGCCAGGGCTGGAAGCTTCTGGTCTGCAGCCATGATGTTCCCCAGGCCTCCTCTTTTGCACAGGTTCAGTGTTCACCCATTTTACAGTTGAAAAAACTCAGGTTGAATGATTGACTCAGCGTGGCCCAAGGCCTGTCAGTCTCCATGCCCTGCCCTGTCACGGATCAGGGATGCCATGGCCTCCTGGGCTCTTGTGGAAAGGGCTTGCATGTGCAAGAGGAGGGCCTGACAGCTGCCCCTCCTTCCGTCCACTAGGAGACGAGCTGCCCTGTGACATGCGGATCCCATCAGACAAGCAGGACAAGCTGCACGGCTGCCTGGAGCATCTCTTTAATCAGGTGTCACCTTCCTCTCCCTGGCGTGGGGCCTCGGGGTTCTCGGGGACCGATTAAGAGGGGACTGAGGGTGACCCATGCCTGCACCTGCTGCCCTTAGGTGGACGCCATCAACACGTTGCTCAAGGGCCCAGTCATGAGCAGGGCCTTCGAGGAGACCAGGCACTTCCCCATGGACCACAGCTTGCAAGGTGAGGCAGCCCCACCGTGGCATGTGTTCCTGCTCATGGCCTGCTCCATGCTTTGCCCACCTTGGGCTCTGGGAGGTGCTGGAATGAGGCCACAGCCTGACTCGACACAGCTGCGGGGCTGAGCGTGGGTCTGCTGTTGTTTATTAAGGGTTGTGAAAACAGCGGGAAATGAGGACTGTGGGGCGAAGGTGTGCGCCCAGGTCTGTGGCCCTGGCTGGTCCTGGACCTGAGGAGCCACCCTGTGGAGCTTGGTGGGGGCAGGGTGTCCTCCTCTGGTGGTCCCTCTTGTCACCTTAGCTGTGTTCCTAGGATCTGTGATGTCTGCTTGTTCTTCACCTGCGTCCTTTGCTACCTGTTTAAGATTCACTTATTTTTATTTGAGTAACTGAGTTAGAGAGCAGACATACACAGAAAGAACTTCCGTCTGCTGGGTCACTCCCCACATTGCCACAGTAGCTGGAACTGGGCCCATCCAAAGCCACGAGCTGGAAGCTTCCTCTGGGTCTCCCGTGCGGGATCAGGGACCCAAGCACTTGGGCCATCCTTCGCTGCTTTCCCACACTAGCAGGATGTGGATGGGAAGTGGAGCAGTCGGGACTCAAACTGGCACCAACAGATGTCAGTGCCATAGGCAGAAGCTTAGCATGCCTCACCGGCAAGCCTGAGGTTGGGTCTGGCACACCTGGACCCCGGGAAGCACCCAGTTGGATGTTGGGGCCTGGAGAGCAGCTGGCAGCTGCCCCTGTATAAGGGGAGAAAGGAACAAGGAGTTGGGGTCCCTGACCCCATGACCCCTGCTTCTCCTGCTGTCTCAGGATCGTCTCTCTCCAGGGACAGATGCCAGAAAGTAGACGCAGCAAACCTAGAGGCAGCAAAGCCACGCAGATCTCAGAAGCGTGGGGTCCCAAGCAGGGAGGAAGCCAAAGGGGACAGGGCCCTGTGTGCTTCTGTTGGGGGTCTGTCCGACTCCAGCTGGCTGTATAATCGGGACAAGTGCCTTTCTGTGTCTGAGCTTCCTCTGTGTAAGGGCTTTAGTCTAGGTTGGGACTAGATGGCGACCTTGAGGAACACTAACGTGGCTGCACCATGCAGGCTTAGGAGGAAAGGACGCCAGGGTTGATGTGTGGTGTCTGCCCGGCACTGAGCGCTTGTAGCCGTGTGGAGTCGCAGGCTCAGGCTGCTGGGAAGGAGTGCTGGGAGCGACCCCTTGGCAAGGCACTTGGAAGCAGTAGCATGCCTGCTGGGTCACGTGCCCTCCACGTGCCAAGTCACAGCTGAGTCCTGCCTGCTGATGTAGGTAGGATTCAGAGTTGGGTGACAGGGCACAGTCCTGGGTGGTGCCATCCTCCAAAGCCACCTTCATGCCTTTCCTGGGCCCCAGAGTTCAAACAGAAAGAAGAGTGTACGATCCGTGGCCGGAGCCTGATCCAGATCAGCATCCAAGAGGACCCCTGGAACCTCCCCAGCTCCATCAAGACCCTGGTGGACAACATCCAGAGATATGTGGAAGGTCAGGGCAGGGGTGGCGGGCACAGTGGGGTGTGTGTGTGTGTGCACTTGTGTGTACACGTGTGTGTAATGGCCTTGAGCCTGAAGATGGTAGGGTCAGGAAAGGCTTCGTCTCTGTACCCCCCACATCTGCCTAGGGGGAGAAGTAGGGGTGCCCAGTCTCTGTTGAGTGTCTGTCTTGGGGAGCAGGCCCTGTGGGGGGCTGGCCCCTCCTCCTGGAAACCCCTTTGGTCCCAAGAGTGTTCTTTTGAAGGGAAGGGCCTGATTGCTAGGCCTGTGTCTCCACACAGCAGGGCTGTGGTCATGCCGGGTACACATTTCTGAATGTGCGCAAGACCACGTGCACACAGGGGCTGTGGCTGGGCCCAGGAGGGTGGGCCTCCAGCTCTGGGGGAGCTGGGGCCGAGAACAGCGAGGCTGATGGCTGGGGGTCTGGAGGCTCCTGGGGTTTACCTGACATTCAGAGCTCCTTAGACACAGCTGCCCGGGCCCAGAAGCACACGGTGAAGGGGCCAAGCAGGTGCTGGGTCAGGGCCCCCATCCTGGTCCCACCCTCAGCCTGCCTTCTGCTCTGTTCCTTCTCCTTCCAGATGGTAAGAACCAGCTGCTCCTGGCCTTGCTGAAGTGCACAGGTGAGACTTCCGCAGAGGTGACGGTGTGGGCAGGTACACCTCAGGAGCCAGCCTGGCAGCGGCTGCTCTCTGCCAGCTATGGCACATCAAGGCCCAGCCCCGGGCAACACAGCATCTGGCCTCCAGCCCCTCCAAGACTCCTCCAACTTTACAGCCTCCTCTTGAGTCCTAGGGACACTGTGAGGACCCCAGACCCATGAGACACGTTTTGTGCACCTGCCAGGGCAGGGACTTGGGACAGGGGATAAGGGGACTAGGAGGAGGGGCAGAAGGTGAGCCTGGGGGTCTTGGAGATGTTCCCCATCCAAGCTCTCTTCTGAAACTTTCAGCCAAGGGGAAGCTGCCGCCAGACCTGAGGGTCACGGCTAATCCCTCGATTCCCCCCCTGGAAGTTAGTCAGTGAGAAATCATCCTTGCTGGACGATTCAGATTCTGAAAGACCAAATGTCTGAAACTGGCTAGTTCCTCAAGCCACGTCAAGGTCAAGGCCAGGTAGGGGCCAGCAAAAGAATACAGTTGTCAAAAGCGGAGACCCTGGACACTGTGGAGCCTGGCTATGTCCTTGGCGCCTGCCTGCTAAGGCCAAAGCCGCCCTGAGGAGCTGGGAGGTGGCTGCGCACCAGTTGTGGGGAGCCTTGGTGAGGTCATGGGGTGTCTTTGCTCTGTGGGGCTCCTGGGTCACAGAGAGAAGTGAGGTACTCTGTGGCGGGCTGGCCTTGGTCCTGTGGCCCTGACTAACACCCGGGGTTGCCCATCCATGCTACGGGGCCCAGCATAGCCGTTGGGTGGCAGCAGTCTGCCGGTGGCTCAGGAACACCCTCTCTGCCCCGTGTCCCAGACACCGAGCTGCAGCTACGCCGGGACGCTGTCTTCTGCCAGGCCCTGGTGGCCGCCGTGTGCACCTTCTCCGAGCAGCTGCTGGCTGCCCTGAGCTATCGCTACAACAACAACGGCGAGTACGACGAGAGCAGCCGCGATGCCAGCTGCAAGTGGCTGGAGCAGGTGGCCGCCACGGGCGTCCTGCTGCACTGCCAGTCCCTGCTGGCACCTGCTGCCGTGGTGAGTGAGCTCGGGTAGGATGCCCTGTTGAGTTCACCTGGTTGGCCCCACAGCAGCTGTTGGCTGTGTGCCTTTGTTAGGGGCACTGGGGACCGTTTGTTAGGGGCACTGGGGACCGTGCAGTAACCAAAGCTGAGGGTCCCTGAGCTCAGGGCCTGGTGAGAGGGAACACACACACACACACACACACACACACACACACACACACACACACTCACACTCACACTCACACTCACACTCACACACACACACACACACACACACACACTGAGGAACCATTGACGTGGATCATTGGTTCTTCAGCAGGGAACTCCAGGCAGCATCCGGTGACATTGTTGCTTGTGACACTGAGGGAGCCAGGAGAGGTGAGGGGACACTGCTGGCCCCAGGCTGGGTGGCACCAAGGCTTGCTCCCCAAAGCTCCTGCTACTGGCAAGTAGGATGTGTGGCCCAGGAGCGCCCTCTGCTGGTTGCTGCTGTATGCAGGCGAGCTCTGTTCTGAGTTCCTGGAAAGCATAATTCTGTGTCTAGCTGGGGAGGCATGGGCACCCAGCTGTCCCCATGTCTCTGCAGGGGGGACCCCGAATCCAGGGCAGTTGTTCTAAAGGCACCCAGAGGCTCCAGGGTCTGAAGCTGAGATTCACAAGGGGCAAGGAAGAGACTGGGGAGACTACACCGGGTGCTTAGGAGGCAATGAAATACCCCTCTTGCCCGCCACTTGCCACCTCTCCTGGGGAGGAGATAGACAACCGGGACCCTGTTAGGACTGGAATGGTCATGTGACAGGTGTGGTGCTGCAGGCAGGAGGACTGGTTTCACCAGGGCCATTCAACTAATCAGAACAGAGGTGGGACTCTTGGGTGACCCGGGCCAAGCCACAGGGCAAACTGTGATGTCACGTCCTGCTGTACAACCCGCGTGTGTCACCCAGAGGCGAGCGACAGGTGTCACGGGGGAGCCCAAGGCAGGGACAGCACCTGAGACCACTCCCCGCGCCCCGTCTTCCTACAGAAGGAGGAACGTACCATGCTGGAGGACATCTGGGTGGCCCTGTCGGAGCTGGAAAGCGTCACCTTCTCCTTTAAGCAGCTGGATGAGAACTATGTGGCCAGTGAGTGCCCCTCCTCACCCCACTGCTGCCACAAGTCGGGGTTCTGCAACCACCCAGGGCTGGCCTGTGATTCCCCAAGCAGTCAAGCCTCCTGCCCCCACCCCCATGCAAGCCTCAGAGCTGGACTGGGGGCGGGAGCACGTGGCCCATACCCCGCCACCGTCTCCAGCCGCTCTGAGGAGCCATGCCCATCCTTACTAAGTCCCCGACCTGCAGGGTCGTCCTTCTAGGGGACGTTTGGTGGGAGTTTTTGGAACTTAACCTTGAGGGTGGGAAGGTAGGAGGTCCGAAGCTACACCTCTGGGGGAGTGGACGCGCCAGGTACCACCCTGGGCTACCTCTTTGATGAGAGGGCAGAGGTTCTGAGGTGACCCCCTGGAGTGGGAGAAGAAGGGGCTTGGGGGAGGGGAGGCAAGGGGTCGCCTGCGAGGCCGGGGCATGGCCCCGGAGCTGAGAGCGCCCACGCCACCTTGCCCTCCGCAGACACCAACATCTTCTACCATGTCGAGGGCAGCCGGCAGGCCCTGAGGGTGGTCTTCCACCTGGACAGCTACCACTTCTCCAAGCTGCCCACCCGCCTGGAGAGTGGGGCCAGCCTGCGCCTGCACACCGTGCTCTTCACCCGAGGTGACCGGAGGAGGGGGACTAGGGGCTGGGGAGGGGCAAGAACCGCTGGGCCCACCGGGAACCCAACCGTCCATCCACCCTCACAGCTCTGGAGGGCGCAGAGGGGCCGTCGTCTCCAGGGGGCCAGGCCGTGGAAGACTTGCAGCAGGAGATCAACACACAGTCCCTGGAGAAGGCCCAGCAATACTACCGCAAGCTCAGGTATGCCTGCACCCGTGTCGCTGCCCTGGGAAGCGGCACCTGCCCCAGACTCACCCTGCCTTGGGGAGGGAATCAGATACTCTTCCAGGAGCACCTACTGTGTGCCAGGCCTTTATGCCTGTGAGAGAATCTCACAGCAGCCCGCATGGAAGGTCATTCTGACCCATTTCTCAGATGAGGAAAGCTGAGGCCCCAAGACCATGCGCAGCCAGCCCAAGGCCACGTGGCAAGACACTGGTCGAGCTTTTGAACTTGGGTCTGTCAGGATTCACAACAAGTCATTCTGGATCAGGCAGAGGCAGCATCTGGGGGAGGGGGCTTCCTGGAGACCCCTTCCATAGGTGATGGTGGGTGTGGACAGTGATAGCCCTCTGCGCGTCTGAGGGCCACAGCAGAAGCTGCCAGGGTCGGGTGGAGGATCGGGGTCCAGGCCGCCCTCAGCACCGCTTCCTCTCAGGGCTTTTTACCTGGAGCGTTCCAACCTGCCCACGGACGCCAGCAGCACGGCCGTGAAGATCGACCAGGTGTGTGGCCTGCACTCGTGAGACAGAGAAATGAGGGCTCAGGCCCTGGGGTCCCGCTGCAGCCACGCTGCCTCCTCCAGGAAGTCTGCCCAGCATAGCTCCCTCCTCCTCCTGGAGATTCCTCCAAGGAGCACCTGCTACCCCGCGCTCCCCTAGTTCTCTGGAGCCCCACACGGGTGGAATTTGGGGACCCCAGTGTGGGACCCCTTCTGTAGGTGATGGTGGGCGTGGACAGTACGTCCCCTTTGTGCGTCCGAGGGCCACAGCAGAGGCTGCGGAGTGCTCTGTGTGGCTTGTGTGTGCCGTGTTTTTGTGTAGCATGTTCTGTGTGTGTCATGTTCTGCATGTGCCATGCTGTGGGTCTGTGCCCTGTTCCGTGTGCCCTGTTGTGTGTGTGCCCTGTTCCGTGTGTGCCCTGTTGTGTGTGTGCCCTGTTGTGTGTGTGCCATGTTCCATCTGCACAGTGTCCCGTGCGTGCATGATTTGTACTGTGTTTTTGTGGACTCTTTTCCCTGGTGCCATGTTGCATGTATGCTGTGTCCTTCGTGTGCATGTTGTGTGCATGCTGTTGTGTGTCTGCTGTGCTGTGTTGCCGTGTTGTGTGTCTGCTGTGCTGTGTGTGTGCCGTGTCGTGAGTGTGCTTGGTCCCGCGTTTGTTGCTGACGTCAAGAAATGGAAGGATTCCTCAAACGCACGGAGGCGGCTCGCCCGCAGTCCCATCTGGCACAGAGGCCACAGTCCCAGACCGTTCGATCCCTGCCCTTCTGGGACCTTCGTTTGGCGTCCCGGGCTGCTGGCCTCTCCTTGGCTTGCCCTGCAGCTGGCAGGCGCTCTGGGTGGCTCCGGAGGTGCTGAGTGAGGTGGTGGGTGGTGCCATGTGGTTGGTAGGAGATCGAGATCGCAGGAACAGCAGTGAGCCGCCCTGGGTGGGGGTGCTGTCTCGGGAGGGACTGCCCTGGCAGCTGCTGATGGCTTTGGAGGGACAGCGCGGGACACTTGCTTCAGGCCCAGCAGGGGTCGCAGCCCGGGCAGCTGGGGATAATGGGGTGAAGGTTAGCACTGGGAACTGTGCAGGGGGTGTTAGCTGGGCACTGGGGAGCCAGAGGGCTGTCGGTGGGGGGAGGGGTGCAGGAGGTTAACTGGGTTCTAAGTCTGGCAGGGATGAACTGGGAAGGTCCCAGAGTTAATGGAGCAGGGGGGACAGCTGGGGCCGGGCATCCCCAAACGCTGGGCCATCCATCTATAACCTTGTAGCTGATCCGCCCCATCAACGCCCTGGACGAGCTCTGTCGCCTCCTGAAGTCCCTGGTGCACTCCAAGGCTGGCGCCGGTGGCAGTGTGGGTGCCAGCCTCATCCCCGTCTCCTCAGAGCTCTGCTACCGCCTGGGCGCCTGCCAGATCACTCTGTGTGCCACGGGCATGCACAGGTGAGCCAGCGTGGGGTGGGCAGGCAGGGGCCCAGGCCTGCCCCCTACGGACCTCTGCCTGTGTGTAGAACGGGTCGGCTGGGGCATTGAGGAAGGGAGAGCCGGTGCAGCGTGGTTCTGCCTGCCGAGGTCACATGCAGCAGGAGCAGTCACCACTCCTGGATATCCTCTCGCCTTCTCTGCGTCCCAGGGGGACAGATGGGGGTGGGGCAGAGAGGCCACGCGTCTCACCTGCGTCCATCCGTCCCCCTGCAGGAGCACCCTGAACGTGTCCCTGGAGCAGGCAGCTGTGCTGGCGCGCAGCCATGGCCTGCTGCCCAAGTGTATCATGCAGGCCACTGACATCATGCGGAAGCAGGTGAACACCGCCACCTCCCCCAGCCCCCAGTGCCAAGGCCTGAGGCTCCACATCCCCTCTAGGGTGCCAGGATGCCAGCCTCTGCCCCAACCTCTACCCCACCCCACTCACACTTCCCCCAAGTGCCCCGAGCTCAGGCAGGGGCCCGGCCTCACATCTCCCTCTTCCAGGGCCCCCGAGTGGAGATTCTGGCCAAAAACCTGCGAGTCAAGGACCAGATGCCCCAGGGCGCCCCGCGGTGAGTAGTGGGGCCCATGTGAAGCTTTTGGCTGCCCAGGTGTGGGGCCTTCTCACCAGTGGGTCCAAGACAGAGGTCCCAGGGGAAGCCGAGTGGCCGCGGGCTGTCTTCCCGCCCCTGGCCACCCCTCTGCCGCCACACCTGGGCAGCCCGTCCTCCCGTTCTCGCCTCTGCTCCTCCTCTGTGTCCACGGCAGGCCCCTGTGGACTGTGAGCGCCCTTCCCCGTCTCTCCCAGTTCGCTGGCGACATGTGTGACATCCCTGTGCCTTGGAGGTAGTCTGACTCAGAGCAGGTAGAAATAGCACAGAGGCTCCGCACCCTTGGGTGACTGCTTGGCGCCCACTGTGACGGTGGTGCAGGTGCATCCAAGGCCAGGCACGGCTCCGGAGGGCAGTTTCAGGTTGCCCTGTGGGCCTCATTCCCAGCTTACAGCTTCTGTAAACTATATTTTCATTTTGTGAGAGAGAGGCTTCCCACTGATTCATTCCCCAGATGCCCGAGGCTGGGCTGGTGGAAATGGGCACCTGGGCCATTCTGCACGTGTGCTAGGCCCCACCCACCGCACCCACCCCTCACTGTCTCTGTCTCCATTTCTATCTCCAGCCTGTACCGCCTCTGCCAGCCTCCTGTGGACGGAGACCTCTGAGCACCCAGCTGCCCAGGCCTGGCTGTGCCAAGGACAGAGCAGAGCCCGCCAGCGTGTCAGAGCGGCCTGAGACCTTGGCTCCTACCGGCCCTGGGGTCTGTGCTGCAGCTGCCTCCACTCCTCCCAGGACAAGCCGGTGTCCAGCTGTCTTGGGCCCGGGGCCAGCGTCTCCTGCACCCCGTGCCAGAAGCCCAAGCGGTGCCAAGGACCTGTAGTGGTGCAGCCAGAGCCTGGGGTCCTGGACCGGGCCCCGTCCTGGCCCCCTGGCAGCTCCTGCTCCCACTGGACGCCTCTACCTGCACTTTGGACATCCTTGGTTTGCTCCAAGCCCACATTCCAGGCGCCCGCGTGGGGCTCTTCCTCCTCGGAGCTGCTCTCGCCCTGCACTAACCCGCCCAGGGATCCAGGTCGGGGAGGAGCAGGGCGCCCTCCCGGCCAGGGCGTCTCCGACACTGCCACGGGACCCCGAGCTGCCAGCCCCGGTGGGAGAGCAGCTTCATTTCTGCGACGTGCGTTCTCGGTGACTTGCTTGGGACTTGGTTCTGTTGTGGTTGCTGGTGGCGGCGTGGAGCGTTCCTTCCCCTAAGGCTGTAAGAGTACATATTTGATATTTTGAACTTCAGAGAAAGGTCTGTTGTCTAACAGGGGACCAACGCAGGGCAGTGTCTATAGCTCTTGCCAGTTCCGCTAAAGCACACACAGTGAAACCATTGCCAGATTGGAAAATGTATTTCCTTTTATAGTATTGATGTTCAGGTATCACCCCCACGGCCCTCCACCCTGAGTCCGTGTTGGGACTTTGCTGGGCCAGGGCTGGGGGCTGGGGCGGTGCTGAGCCACCTGCCCGGGAGAGGGACCTGGGAAGCGGCAGGTGGTAGCTCCTGTAATTTATTGTCTTGAAGTTGCATCTCAGAGCTCAGCCCGCCCCTTGGGGGCGTGGCCTGGCTTCCCTTCGCCTTCAGGGAGGGATTGCAGCCGAGGGGTCAGGTTGGGACGGCGGGGAGGGGACTCCTCACCATCCTGGCCACGGCCCGTGGGCATCCTGCCCCCTCGGCTGGCAGTGCCACTGGCCATGCCTGGCCTCTGTGCGCATGACTGCAAGGGCGGCCCTTGGGTTGGGTGGGGTCATGGACACAGACCCAGGGAGGCGCCTTAGCCCTGTGGGGTGCGCCGGGCAGGGCCCCTGAAGGTCAGGGTGCCGTGCACTGGCTGACTTGGAAGTCTACAGATTCTTGCTAAATTCTTGATAGATGTTTTTTTTTTTTACTATTATTAAAAGTTGGTTTATAATAATACAAAGGAAGAGGCAGTGTCTGCTTGGTCTGTGGGGGGAGGCAGATGTGACACAGTGTGACACGGACTTGTGCATTTTTTAAAAAAGATTGGATTATTGATTTGAAAGGCAGAATTACAGAGCAGGAGACATAGCTTCCATCTGCTGGTTCACTCCCCAGGTGGCTGCAGCACCCAAGAGCTGTGAAGCCAGGGGCTCCGTCTGTCCCCCACGGGGGTGCAGGGACCCAAACTTTCCCAGATACATTAATAGGGAGCTAGATCGGAAGTGGAGCAGCTGGAACTCGAACTGGCACTCCTATGGGATGCTGGCACTGCAGCTAGGGGCTTAAATGGCTATACCACAGTGCCAACCCGAGGGGGTGTTGTCACAGGACACGTGTGGCCTTGCTTGGTGACTCCCACGCAGAAACTTGGAAGTAGCCATGATATGCCGCTTCCTTCCCGCAGTCATGACACCTTTCCATTGTTCTGAATTCCATCCCTACAGGGGTTGAATGCCCCCATGTGGCCACAGATCAGCTAAGTGGAGAGTGGCAGCCCTCTGGGGGCAGGCGCCTGCTCCCCCGAGGTTCCCCTGGGTTGCCATAGTACATCAGCTGCTGGAGGGACTGGGAGAATCCAGGCAACTTGCTCAGGACTTCTGGGGACCCCACTGCTGCAGCCTCACAGTGGCCCTGGATGCAGATAGCGTGGGGTCAGCCAGGAGGCCAAGCAGGGTGTGGAGACTGCTGTGGATTTTTGCCTCAGTCTCTTTCTCTCTGGGCAGTGCCCTGGGGGCAGCGGCCAGGCCTATCCTGTCCTCAGCCCTGGGCCGGGTGTCCGTGGCTGGTGGCTGAACCTCAGGAGGCAGGTGTCCATTGAGCACCGAGTGCTCATCGCACCAGAGACCTGTGACCACTGCCCTATGCTGTCCCCGGGCGGGCCCGGGATGTGACCTATGGGGACCTGGCAGCCTCCATGCCCACCAAGTGGCCAAGGCTGTGGCCATCTGGTCTCTCCTAGCCTGTGTGTGCCCTGTGTGTCCAGCAGGTGGCAGCAGGGACTGTGTGATTCTGGGCCAGGTCCTGCCAGTCCAGCCTTGCAGGCTTGGGACCCCAAGGGGCTCCTGGGGGGTGGGTTGTTTGTGTGTTGTTGGGCATGCAGGGCCAGGGGATGGGGGGCCTGGGCATGCAGTGGCAGATGGAGCAGGCGCTCGGCCTGCAGTGTCCTTAACCATGTCGGGTTCAAGTGTGTGTAGGGTCGCTTACTTGTTGGGTGTGTTTTTTCTTGAGCAACGTTTTGTGTTTTCCTTTGTCCTGTGCGTGTGACTCTGTTTATCCTTTCCTTTTCCCTTTGGTGATTTTCCTTCATTCTTTTCCATCCTGTCTGGAAGGATCTATCTGCAGAGTGTGAGGCACCCTTATGTAGGCTGCAAAGTGCCACGACCAGCCCAGCAAACTCCCCTAACTCCACACCTGGGAACCACCAGCCACGAGGACGCGGCAGCCACCAGGTGGCGCTGTGGATGGAACTGTCCTGGGCCTGTGTCCGAAGACCCAGGAAGCTCTCCCCACTTCCTACCCCCAGAAGGCTTCCTGTGTTACTCCGCTCACCTCAGGCGTGGCTGGGTCACCCATTTGTCCATCCACACAATCTCCCTCTCTCTCCCCCTGCCTGGCAGGTGCCAGCCTCGCCCAGTCCCTCACAGTCCCTGCACTGCAGGCTGAGTTGCACAGGGTAGGGTTGAGTGGTCTCAGATATTGGGGCTGCTGTGGGAAGGGCGTTCTTGTGACACAGTGGCCACCTAGGTGTCCTGCCTCCCCGCTGTCCCCGGAGACAAGGCCGGCTGGCCAGGGGCCTCTCTGGTTCTGGGCTGCCCCCATCTTGTGTCTGGAACAATCCCTCCCTGTGGCCAGTGTGCTTGCTGTTAGGGTTCCCGCGTTCCCTACCCGCTGATGGCTCCCCTGTCTCCCCCCAGGAAGACCCAGGGTCCCTTGCAGGAAGCCAGGTGGGCTGATGTGCAAGGTGGTATGGCGGGCAGCTCATGAAGGCAAGGTGCCCAGGCCAGGGAGACGCAGTTGTCCTGAGCATGTCCACACTGGCAAGAGCTGGGTGGGACTCCGTGACTCTGGGTGCTTCTAGCTCCAGCCCGCACTGGAGCCTGTTCCAAGTCCTTGCTGGCATGTGCATGGAAGGTGCTGATAAGGCAGGGCTGTGGCCGGGAGGGCGGGCTGGCGGGCAGGGCGTTTTGATCAGGAATAGCAGGAAGCCTGTCCCCTGTGTGGGGCCCTTGGAGACTGTGGGAGCGGCAGGCCTGGCAGGCCTGGCAGTGGGGACTTGCCCAGGGATTGGGCACCTGAGAACACAGCAGCAGGTACCCTGTGGGTTTTCTGTCCCAGAGCCCTGGTGGGCGGGTTGGGAGCAAAGGACAGACCGTTTTCTCATTACTAAAGCAGAGCGATTGCGGCTCCCGCCCACCAGGCCTGCGTGTGAGGGCTGGAAGCACTCTGAATGGAAGTGGTACTCTACCACTTTATTTCTATAATATGTTGTGCTTTTCCTATTGTGCTTGATGACATGTGTGGCATTATGATGACACGTAATTATATTCCTGCCCGCCCCGCAGCCGCCACCGCTCCGATGAATTCCACGAGCAGGTGGCTCGGGTGCTGCTGGAGATCAGGCCTGTGGCAAATGGGAGAGTTGCAGACCCCCGGTGGGCTCCTGGTTCCCAGGATGACATCCGTGCTGCCTAGGAGCCTGGCCCAAGCTGGCCCTTGTCACCGGCACTGGTGGGGCCAGGGCATCTTTTGAACAGCAGCTGCCTGCCTGGGTGCTCCCTCTGCCCAGCTGAACCAAGACCCCGGGCAGGGGTCACTTCCTCTTGACCCTGTCCCGTGATGCCCAACACCTTAGCCTGGCCTGGTGCCCTGTTGTCACAAGAGGCCTTCTACTCATCTCTCCAATCCATAGCATCACCTCCTTTGATCTAGAATGTTCCAGGCCCCTCTTTGCTGGTCTCTTTCCTCCCTCCACATTCCAGAAATGCAGAGAGGATCCCTTGAGAATCCAAGTCAGACTCTGTCCCTCCTGCTCAGGGACCCCCAGGGATCTCTCACTCCAAGGAATCCCCTAACCCCCTCCCACATTCCCCTCCTCTTATCGCACTCTGGCCTTCTCAGTGGGCCTGGGACGGGGAAGGCTGGGGGCTGGACTGGGCTCTCCTACCTCCCCAGAGCTGAGTCCTCCTCTGTCCGCCCTGGCCCACTCCTGCTCAGAGGTCACTTGCCCTGGGCCCACAGGTCAGTGAGAGATGCCAGCAGGGCCTTCAGGACACACCCATGCCATGGGAGCTATAGGCAAAGCACAGGGCTTTCTAGACCCTGTGAGGGGCTGGGCGTGAGCTGCCACAGGCCAGCACGTTGGAGGGGCGCTGGTCCAGCGTCTGGGCAGACTCACCCTTTCCTGTGCTGTGGGCCCTGCAGCACACAGAAAGAGACATGGCATGTGCTGGCCCATGGTCACTCACAGACAGGAGGCACTCTGGGGTGCAGCAGATAGCCTGGCAGGAGAGGAAGGAGGCTGGGTGCGGGGGTCAGGGACATGAGGGCCTTGCCTCTGTGTCCTGGCAATGTGGGGCCAGCCCAGTATCTGCTTGCAGAGTCCCCAGCTATGAGAGGGGCCTGGCACCTGCCACCAGCACTCATGCACCCTTCACTTTCCATCTGGGTCTGTCTGCTGGCAGAGGCTCAGAGCGGCTCATCTGCCTGATGTTGGAGTGGCTGAGCCAGGAGGGACCAGAGAGAGAATGGCCGCTGCCCTCCCAGCAAGCAGGTGAAATGGGGCCCCAGCCCCGAGACAGGCAAACAGCTGCTGTGTGTCACATGTGACAGCCACCCGTCCTCACAGATACCCTGTGTGGGTTCACAGCCCAGGGGGCTGCTGTGGGAGTCAGGGAGGGTGGATGGGTGGGGGTTCAAGCCTCCGGGTGGCACAACAGGTTTCTGGTGACTCCCAGGGGACACTGGCCACTGTCACTGGCTCAGCAGGGCAGGCCATTTGCTTGGACTCAGCCTCATGGCAAGGCCCCTGGCCCCGGCTGGAGTCCGGGACTTTTGTGGGAGCCAGGCAGTGGGAGGTAGAGCCCTGGGGAGAGGTGTTTTGTTTATCTGCGTTTTCCACCTGGGTGCCCCAGGGACCGCTGAGGATGCCACCCCGAATACCCCTGATGGCATCGAGGAACTAATTAGGCAGAATCAATGGGTTTGCTCCACACGGAGTCAGTGCAGACAAAGATGGGGAGGCGGCTGGCGGAGCAGCGCACATGGTCCCTGCCTGGTTCCCTGTACACCCCCACCTCTCACCCCTGGGAGCTACAGCTCCAAGATCTGCACAGCTTCTCTCACTGGCAGCCCTGGGCGGGCAGCTTGCCTACCCTCAGATCGGCTGCCAGTGTCCCAGGTGACGCAGCAGGAACCCCAAACGGAGAGGCAGGCGGGCCTGGGCTCCCCTCCCAGCTGTGCCCCTGGCCGGCTGGGTGATCTCAGGGACATACAGGACTATGCTGAGCCTCAGCTTTCTCACCTGTGGAATGGGAACAAAAGTTGTGCCTCCCTCCCAGGTTCCTGTGGGGCTGACGAGCTCAGCAGATGCCAGCTTGGGCGCCAGGCTCAGCCACTGCTGCTGCTGGGAGCACACGTGTTAGTCATGTCTGTAACAGACATTGTATGAGAGAGCACAGGCCTGGAGCACATGGGGCGCTCGGCCTGCGGACCTGGCATGTTCTGGAAGCTGCATAGACAGAGCCAGGCTGGGCTGGGTGGCATCACAGGGGCTCATTTCTTGCCCTGTCTAGGTGGGCAGTGGCTGGGCTGGGAGCTCTGCTTGCTTAAGACTCAGGTGGTCTTTTTTAAAAAAAATTTTGAAAAGATTTTGTTTTTTAATTTGAAAATCAGATGTACAGAGAAGAGGAAAGACAGAGAGGAAGATCTTCTGTCCAATAATTCACTCCCCAAGT